GTACATTTTTAAATATTTTAAATATTATAGATTTATCCGATTTTTCTGTCGAGTTTATTTGCTTATAGATTTTGCGGTTTCATTTTTGCTTTCATATTAACTAAGAGTTTTTCGAATGCCTTTTTGAAATACTTTTCTGCTCTGTTCATGTACATGTATTTGCGTTTTTTCTTTATGAAAAAAATAATACTAAGTGATACCTACAATACTGTGTCTCACTTTCCTGACAGAAATTAATATATCACAGTGATATATACAATTTTATTATTTCAGCGAAATTGATATATCACGCCTTCTTTATCAGTAAACAAAGTATTATCAAAATATAAACTTTCATTTCTCATATATATGTAAAAATAAGATAAAAAGTAATAACTCAGATTCTTAACGAGTACTTATGATAAAGAGGCACACAGAGCAACTCTTTGAAGAACACCCATACGTATCCGAAACAAAGTCAGCGTTTATCTCGCGATGCTGCGCGAATTGTGACGTATGCGCGAGAAGATTGTGTAAATGACACAATATGCACATTTTATCTTTACTTCTAAATATCGTAAGTGTTGTCAAGTAATTACTAATTATATCGGAAGTCGTTAAGAGAATAAATATCTACACATCAAAGGATTTCCCTCGGAGACGAACAAATGGGCGAAGATGGGCTTCCTCATGTCATGTAGAGCTGATGTAATAAATGAACATTTTCTAACTAGCAAACTTATGATAAAAAAGATTGAAAAACACAAAATGGTCATAATTTGAATACAAGTATATACTTTTGAAATATATAGAGTAGTTGCAAATAAATTAAAATCATATATTTTTCAGTTGAAAAAAAGTTAATTTGTCAAGGAATTAAAAAAAGTAATGTTAAGTACATATATTTACTAGTATTCCATCCTTGAAAATTAGACCGAAAATAATTTTTAGAAGTAGAAGTTTTTGTTATCAGTTAAGTATATATAAAAGCAATATTTGTGTCTCCTGATTGAGGGATAAGCAAACTGAACACTTCATTGTTTAATTCCGACCCCTACCCGTAGGTGAGTTAGTGACGACCCTAACAGGTTCAGAGTATGGACCCTAGAACTGACACAAATCCCCAGCGCCTCCACTAAGTGTGTGACGTAATCCGGACTTGGGGACCGCTAAATCCCGCGCTCGATCCCCCTAATCTGTGTCTGAAGCCCACACCTGACCCCGCGCCAGGGAAGCAGGCTCAAGTGTTCCTTGACAAATATTGTCTTTTAGACGGAAGTTGAAGTCGTTGACATAAATCTGTTTTTATCGCTTTTGTTGCTAAATTGTTCTACCAGACTTGTTAACTGTGTGCGAAAACTCTAACGCTAGGGTTGTAAAGTTTAGAAAACTGCTACGCATGAAGGCGAGATACATCATTAATTAAACATAAACTCAGCATTTTTTAAAACATACTATCACGATGAAAAAATTCAAATTTTTGTAGAGGACAATACATTAAAAATGAATTAATCAAATTTTGGGTAAAAAAATCTATAATTTAATTTAAATTAAATTTTATTTTATTTTATTTGAATGTGTATGCGAATGGTCACTCTTTACCGGCCACTATATTTGAGGAAGGTAGTCAGTACATTAGAAATAAATTGCTATGATTTCCCCGTGTTTGTCTGTAGTTTGGCGGGTGTCTATTTTATCACCTTTCTATTTGGGTCCCTTTTCTGGGTATTTGTGAAGCGCTTCCTTTGATTTCGGTAGGAAGATCAACAATAGCACATCAGACAATGGTCAAAAAGGGGGAGACGTTCCTTTGATCGAAGTGAAATTTCAATTATTGAGAGGCACGTTGTATTAGCCACAGTGAGAATGCATGCTCTATTTACTTTTTGTAATATTTATTTATTTAGTTAGATAAACTTTTGCCATTTACAAATGTAGAGTTCCACTACTTATTTTGCCAATGAAGTGTTTTATGCACCAAATAAATAATAATTTATTCTTTGTACGGAAAAGGATTTTCAGTCGCTCGAAACTTTGACCAAAATTGCGTTAGAATTTTAACTCTCTCTCTCTCTCTCTCTCTCTCTCTCTCTCTCTCTCTCTCTGGAGATTTAAGTTAAAATATTCCTTATCTTGTTCAAAGGCAAATCTTAACGGGAACTACCTGTTAACGGTTAGGTTGTAAACATATTGTATAATTACGCTAATTAGATCTACACTTAACATATTCTAAACACGGCTCCCCGGCGCTGCATAACCGACCAATGACGGGCGCGGGAAGTTGGCGGCGGGGAGCGCGCTATGGGGCCCGCGAATTTGACTGTACATCGTGTGATATGAATGAAGCAAGTGTTTGTCCTTACTATGGGGTGGTATTTTCTACAAATAAAAGTGTTTTTCATTAGTACTAAAGCACAATTGAGGCATTGTCAGTTGTAGCCTGGTATCGATAAGTGACCTACTGGGCACGTTTGATCCAAGATTTTTTGATTTGACTGTTGTTCGCAATTTGTTAAACAGTTTTATTTGGGACAATTGATAAACACAGCAGAACATATTATGTACAATACTAAAAATGTAACACATGTAATGAAATATCATACCGATTTTCCTTTTTCAAGCAAAAAAAAAAAAAATTAAATAAAATGAGAAAGTGCGGACAACATTTGTTGAGATGAATTTGAAATTTTTAACACAAAATATAAGTTAGAGATGCCTATTTTTGCTCTCAAGAAAATAAAGAAAAGATCTCGCAATAATTCGCATTTCTTTTGGCCACGTGGAGCAGTAAGATAATGATTAATAAAATGTTGACAAATTGAGATAAGCTGTGAACATTGCAACAAGGAAGGCGATATTGTTAATCTGATAAGGGAGATTAGAATCCGAACGGATCACCGGCCTCCTCCAAGTAAATTACATATGTAAACAGGTTAACGTAAAGAGGACCCAGCGATGATGGGCGATAAACGGGGGCAGCTGTCAGAAAGGGGAGTCTAAACAGTTGTAAACCAGCCTCTCTACAAATCTCACGAGACCTTATAAACGAGGGTGTGAAATTTGGAACTTTTTCTTTGCGCCAATTCCGAGAAGTCGTTTTGGTAGAATAAAATCTGGATTGTGTCAATTCAAATCCAAGATGGTCATAAAATTAAAGTTAAATTCTTTATTTCATTATAAAGCGGAACTTCCTTAAAAAAGGAAATTAAGTCTCAAGAGTTTAATGTAGACTTCTTGAATAAGTCATTTCTCTAAGTGTGTTCACTTCCGACAACGTCTGCGATTATGGAACGTTCATAAAAGGGTTTAAGTATAATATCGATATTGGTAAAAACGGTGTAACTTTTATTTTGCATCATTCCAACATGATACTTTAAACGATCATCGAGAGCAATTTGAAATAGAGTCGAAGGAACCGCCGACTGGGGGAAAAACGAAAGCCTCTATGCTTCTTTATTGTTTCCAGAAAATCCAATAAGCCGCGCTCAACTTTTAACATAATTGCTCACTCAACTTCAAGTGTAAAATCTATTATTCCCATTCCAGATAGGGTGATATTGTCCTCTTAATTTGGTAATAACGAATCATTACAATTTAATCAAATAGCTCGACCATTGGCCAAAATCACTTCTCATCTCCTTCACAGAAGAGCTCGCGAAAAGTGGAGGGCTGTTTTAATTGGACAGATGATGTAACCATTGGTAACCCGGGGTGAAGCATCATGGCTGACTGATAATTCACCCCTTGGAGTTACATTTCAAAGAGAAATTCAAAAGACTGAGGACTGGCTCCTCAAATGGTCATATGGTGGTCTCAAAAATAAAATTTAATGTAATTGGGGACCTTCAGTACTCGAATGACGTAAGGAATGTCCATCTGTGAGATACGGGGTAGATGGTTTACTTTAAGCGTTTACATTATCTTCAGTTTTTTTCCTTAGACCTTCTGCATGGCCTCTAATAAAATAAAGTAATATTAACAAATATTTATTTTTAAAAATTGATTTCTGAAATTTAACCCATCACTTGCAGAGACAAGGTACACTAAAAAATTAATCCAAATTTTTGGCATTAAGAAAGTGAGCGAAAGAAGGTACATGAAAGCCATGAAATCAGGAAAGGTTTTCTTGATTGCAAAGATAAGAAATAATCTTTATGAAGTTCCATATAAAAGTCTTTTAGCAATAGTCACAACTCTATTAAATATGATTTAGAGAAGGGGACAAATAATATAAATTAAATATTTTAAAACTGAAAAGTGGAATTGGAAACCTTTCAGAATGTTTTCGGTATCGTTCGGAAGGTCATGATGTTGCTCGTGTGCATTGCGTAATAGGAGGACCTTCTCCGCCGTGATGCACGTGTCTGGGATGACAGAAGGTTAAAAGGGACATCTGTTACTGGGGGGACTCGCCATTCACTCTCACTATTATCACATAATAATAGGGGATCACCCCCTAAACACTTTATACTAATTGATTCGCGTGGCGGGGCCTCGACTTCTGAACCCGAGCGTATAATGTACTGTCTAATCAAGAGGCCGGAGTCTTCAAACCGGCTCTAAATACGTGTAATACAATGTTTAAATTTGAATATTTCTGTTCAGGAAACGTGAAATTGAATTTGATTTAAAGTTAACAGGTTGATAAACCATTCATTGCACGACAAAGGATATCCTGCATTTATTATTCCAGGGCTCTGGTCAGAACATCGCACACTAATGACCTTTTGAATATCTCTCATGTTTTATTGCTCTCAAATGTCCATCATTTTGAAATTCCTCAACTTTAATTGTAAGAGGACGTGTGTTATGTATTCTTAAATACAAGAGAATGCACGGTATACATGAATCACAATAATGTCATGTCATATCGTCTGTGAAATACCAATGAAGAATGCAATACCTGAAAAGCTTTCCAGTTTTCAGAATCCTTATCTTTACTATTTATTCCATCATTCCCAATTTTCAGCGAAATAAAGTCTTGAACAATGTTTTTCAGGTTCGGCATAAGTTTGGTTGTCAAGATGACATTCTTATCTTGGAAGGAAAGGAAGTCCGCCATTGTAACTGGGTTCGATTTTGTAAATCTTCAGATGAACTAGAACTTTCCAACGTGTTTGCCTCAAACCGAGATGGAAAAGTAACGTACCAGACATTACGTACTATAAAACCTAATGATGAAATCATTGTATACTTTGAAACAACTCCGCATACAGAAGAAAACATCAGACAAAAACATGTCGATAGTGCGGAGCAGTCAATGTTGTCTGAGGACGAAGAAATTGATGTTGTCGATATCGGTCCTGATGACGTCATGGAAACTGTCGAAACTTTGGGAAGAAAAGAACATCTAGACCTTAGTAGCGATCCTTCAAAGCTTGAACTAAATAGTTCGTCAGAATCAAGTTAGTTTTGTTTTATTGTTAGTTTTTTGATTATTTAAAACAAAACAAAACGGAATTTCAAGAAACTGGTGGAAATGCTCTTGGTCAGTCATATTTCGATTTGATTCCTTCAGTATAATCACCATTTCTTTACCTTTACAGCAAGAAGCGAGAAGCTGTTCTTTACCTCGCCAACGCTTTCATCCTCGCTTCTGACGTCACCTATTGCAAGAGCAGACGACTGTCCGTCAAACTTCAGCGGAAGTGACGAACACTCTAGTGTGAGTACAAATGATATAAATATCTCATAAACACATTTGCATTACTCTGTAGATTCGTTTTTTAAACATGATCGATTTCACTTCAGATAAAACTGGAATGTTCCGAATCGGACGTTACCAACAGCAGTCCAGAACAAATAGTCCCTGATAGGCCCGTTAGAAGAAACAGAGAAAGAACATGGCTGCCTTGTGATATATGTGGAAAGAAATTTGACCGTCCATCGCTCCTCAAACGACACATGCGCACACATACAGGTATTGTAATACTTATTACTGTACTTTTTATTCATAACCCTTATTGCTTAACAATATACATTTTATCATCCGGTAACTTCATTAATGCGTGTGATTGAGTAATGACCTTGACATTATTGTAGGTGAGAAGCCCCACGCCTGTGACGTGTGTGGAAAAGCATTCTCCACGTCCTCCTCCCTGAACACGCACAGACGCATCCACAGTGGAGAAAAACCCCACGTTTGTAAAGTTTGTGGAAAGCGATTCACTGCGTCATCAAACCTCTACTACCATAGAATGACGCACGACAAGGTAACAAAACAGAGTAAAATAATGAACAGATACCATACAGCTTAAATATTGATATTAAAACTACTAGTATTTGGAAGAACAAGAAGAAGATAAATTATGTTCTTTGGTCTTTTCAGGAGAAGCCCCATAAGTGCACGCTGTGCTCCAAATCCTTCCCCACGCCCGGCGATCTCAGAAGTCACATGTACGTCCATAATGGCTCCTGGCCCTTCAAGTGCGAAATCTGTCACCGGGGATTCAGCAAGCAAACCAACCTGAAAAACCACGTGCTGCTTCATTCCGGTGAGTTTATCGTTAGAATTCTCGTCTTATCTCATCTCTTCTACAGCTCCATATATTTCTGATTTCTTATGGTCGTTAGAATCCCTCTAACGTTCACGGCTGTTTCGGTCAGTGACGAAATAGGTCATTGTCTAAATATCTTTGACATTTTTCAAACTTTACTCGTAGTTATCCATTTACCCTTTTATTTTTAGGAGATAAGCCACATGAGTGCATTCTCTGCGGAAAGAAATTCGCCCTTCAGTGCAATCTGAAAACGCACATGAAAACACACGAAGGTAATTATTTGACATAACATTAACTTTTTTTGCCGTTGCTTGGGATCTGAATCGAATTAAACTGGTCACCAAATGTGCTGATTGGTATTCCAGGTATACAAGTACAATAAATTTATATTCTGATCTGTTCACAGCCTCCTCTGTACAAGATAATTGCATCAAATGTGGAAAGTCCTTTGTACCCAATCAGAGTTCTCCAAAGCGAGTCTGCTCACAATGCCTGAAGGTCAAACCAGAGGATGCTGAAAACGGACCAAAGAAGAAGAGGATCACCGACTTCAGTATCTCTAGACTGACCGAAACCACACCAAAGAAGATGTCTTTTTCTCCGTATCGTCCGAGCAAGTCTGCCACTAGTGAAGGACATTCACCCTTCCCAAGTCCGGAGTTCCTCCATTCCTCTCCCTATTCCCCTAAACTAGTTCCCCCACCTTTCGGACATTCCCTGTTGTCACCACTACAACCAAACAACGTCTTAGCGAACACCGTCCATTTCTCTCACGCTATTATGTCTCCCTTCCATCCACGGTTTTTCCAAAGTAGAGGTACCGGCAATCTACCCAAACCTTTATTTGGAGAGGATATGTCATCTGGAAGTGACGCACCTTCGCCATACTCAAGGGTAGCATGGCCAGGATCCCTGACACATCACCAAGGTTACTAAGTGACCGGAAGTGATGAAGTGATGTACTTTACTCATGAGCACCGTAGCCAGTTTCTATGACACTTCTCCAATGTAAGTCATGCACCAGGACCACTCCGGATAACCGGAAGTGACACACTTAACTCACGGGTACAACCTTTCACGTCACCAAGGCTACCAAGTAACCGGAAGTGACGAATCGTAGCCGGACCCCTCTCATATCACCAAGGTTACTGGTCATGAGTAATCAGAACTCGTCTTTTAACACAATATTGTAATATCTTTGTGAGTAGTGTAATGCCGTCCATGCTTTGTGCACAAACTACACAAGTGATATCAGACTGTCTCCTGTACCGTCTTATGTCTGTAAATAATACCAGATATATATTTAATAAAATATTTTGAATTTGTATGGCCTTCTGTTCACCTTTAGTATGCATTCACAAGGGGGGAAGTGTTCATTAGTGGGCGATATGAAAGGCAATGGCTCGTAAAATTCTAATGACATCCCCTGGGTGTCGTAACTTCGATAGGCACCGGGACGTGTGCTTTATGTAAGTCAGCCAGAGGATCAAGACAAACTGATGAAAAACACGTAACAACCCGAGTCTTATTTTATGACCAAAAGTTTAAATAACTCTCTGTGGTACCTATTCAGAGCACATCATATCCCGGCCAGATATGATGTGCTCTCTGATCTAACATGTTTTTTTTTCTCTCTGTTTTAGTTACTATAAAACAATCTCTATACATGTTCATGTCAATATTTGTTTGACACTGACATAATATAACGGCTCATCGTTTAGAATTTTATATTTTAGCATGGCCGTAGGAACCGGAAAGGGGGTGGGGGCACGGGTCGAAATAATATAATGTAGAAAACATAGCACAATATGCTTATGCTTCCTCAATAAAAACAATCTCCCATGCAGAGTTGTCGTTCGTTCCTCTCTCAGACACAGAATGTATGAGCCGATGGTAGAGAGTGCAATAAAAACTGAATAAGTGCGCTTTTCTGATCATCCGTCGTCCTTCTGTAACTCGTCAGATTTTCAAATTTTTCTCAAGAACCATTAGGCAAATTTTTAACCCAAGTTGGTACAAAGTGTCCATGGGTTAAGGAATTTTTTTTGGTTAAAATTAAGGGCCAGCCTCCCTTACAAGGAGAGATAAACCAGAAGTCTCTGTCGAGACTGTAGCTCTACTGGTTTGTACGTATAACAAAGGATGAAAAAAAGTTTTACATAAAAAATTGTAGAAATTTTTTATAAAGGAATTTCACAGACATTTCTATTTTTAGTAACAATGGCAACACTGTTCATCAAAATAAAAAACTGATGCACTATTTTATATATCTTAGTGTAGTCTACTTTTGTGCCAAGTTATATTGAAATCAGACCAAAATTGTAGGAGGGTAGCAAGGCCAAAGAATTTCACAGGAAATTCTATTTTTAAACCATGGCAACATATAGGAAATCAAAATCTGATGCACTATTCTAAGTATCTTAATGTAGACTACTTGTGTGCCAAGTTATATTGAAATCAGACCAAAACTGTAGGAGGAGTAGCGTTTTAAAGGAATTTCCACAGAAAATTTTATTTTTAGTAACCATGGCAACACTGTTCATTGAAATCAAAATCCGATGCACTATTTAATGTATCTTTTTGTAGTCTACTTGTGTGCCAAGTTATATTGAAATCAGATCAAAATTGTAGGAGGAGTAGCGTTTTAAAGGAATTTCACAGAAAATTCTACTTTTAGTAACCATGGCAACACCGTTCATCAAAATCAAAATCCGATGCATTATTTTATGTATCTTTGTATAGTCTACTTGTGTGCCAAGTTATAATGAAATCAGATCAAAATTGTAGGAGGAGTAGCGTTTTAAGTGAATTTCACAGAAAATTCTATTTTTAGTAACCATGTCAACACCGTTCATCGAAATCAAAAACCGATGCACTATTTTATGTATCTTTGTGTAGTCTACTTGTATGCCAAGTTATACTGAAATCAGATCATAACTGTAGGAGGAGTAGCATTTTAAAGGAATTTTACAGAAAATTCTAATTTTAGTAACCTCGGCAACACCGTTCATCGAAATCAAAATCCGATGCACTATTTTATGTATCTTTGTGTGGTCTACTTGTGTGCCAAGTTATATTAAAATCAGACCAAAACTGTAGGAGAAGTAGCGTTTTGAAAAATTGTTTACAGACAGACGGACAGACAGACAGACAGACAGAAGGACGGACGACGGACACCTTACTATCGCATAAGCTCTTCTGGTCTCTGACCAGTAGAGCTAAAAAAAGGGGTGGAGTCTGAAATTTTTTTTTCTTCAAGAACAACTGGACCAGAAAAGCTGAATCTAATGTGAAAGCATCTCGGGGGTAGTGTAGATTCTAACCTGTTGAAATTATGACCCTCAGGAGTAATGCGGGGTCACAATAGGGAATCCAAATTTTAAACTGTTATATATATGGGGAAAATCTTTTAAATCATGAACCACTGGGTCAGAAAAGTTGAAACTATTGTGGAAGCATCACTACTGTTAATTCTAAATTGTTCCAATTATGACCTCCGGGGTAGGGCGAGGCCACAATAGGGAATCCAAATATTACATTGAAATATATAGAGAAAAACTTTAAAAATCTTCTCAAGAACAACTGGGCCAGAAGAAGTGCAGAAAGATTGCTGATGTCATTTGGATTTGTTAAGACCTTGACACATGGTCATCACAGAAAGTTCAAAGTTCAGAAAAAAATATCCTTCTTTTCTTGGCTGGATTATTGTGATGGAGAATGCTTGGAAGCTCATACTTGTTTATGAGATTATTCATGATCTGAGGATGTGTCATGACCTTGACCAAATATCATTCCAGCAAGTTCAAGGTCATTAGTTTAAAAAAGTTTAAAATTCATAACAGGTTTATAATTTTCTAGAAAAAATACCAGTTCTGATCACACAGGGAGAGCAAGATTTGCTGTTACATGGACAATTTTCCATTTGTTTACCAATATTTTAGAAGCAGTCTCTTTCAAATTTTGGGAGAATATTTCACTGAAATATTAACAACAATCGAGAAAATATAGTAAAATTGGGAGAAGTAAACTGAGCAGGGTAGTAGCAATTCTGGTTTGCAATATCAGTTAAATGAGTAGGACTTTACATAAGAGCACAACAAAACCAACATACAAGCTTAACAGCTTGTTATGATGCCAGCAGTCAAGAAATGACATTAAACGGTTTTTAAAATTTTATTATTTCTGGAGTCATTATTAAAAATTTCTCAACATAAATCTTGGCTTATGCTTGACCCCAAAGTTTACAGTAATTATCTGTGCATTTTAATGATTGCATTTATTAAATATAATTATTATCATGTGACTTATCAGATATCGAGAAGTCACATGACCAATGTGAAACGAGCTAAAGCTTTTAGCATGGCACTCAGATTTTGTATCAAATGAACAATATAAAATTTAGAGCTGAAAATGCAGTTCAACTTTTAAGGAAAACTGGCTCGATACATTAGCTTCTGATACAGATCATTGTTTTTTAAGCAGTGATGTTTTTTTTCTCTCTGATTTTCTAGGCAGTTTTATCAGGAATTCTGTGGCACAGTTATGAGAAACGTTCACTGATACAAAATGAGACCTGATATGCCAGTCTTGAGCACTCTTTCATTCAAGCACGAAAAAAACATAGGAAGTCTTCCATACATCATATAAAAAGCTTTGCAATAGAACTAAAATAAATGTATTGCACCCTAGAATTAGCACCAAGTTTCAAACTTGGGCCTTTACAGAATGAATAACAATATAAACTGATGCCTAAAATAAATGTTCACAGCCATGAAATGAAAGTGATAATGAGGTAATGAGCTTCCAGAATATTCATGAAGGCTAGCTTGTGACATTTGCATATGTAACAAATGTAGACACTGATAATTTATTGGGGTTTTGACAATGAGGCCTTAGCACATGTACAAACTGTAAACATTTATCCTATATTTAGTAACATTGGAGACAACCATAACATAAATAAATATGTGACATCTTCCTTCTAACAAAAAATTACATAGATTTATATATATATATATGTATATATAATATACTCAATACTACAAGCATCAATCTCTTGTATCTTGTTAATTCCTTATATAAACTAGTTTCCATTACAATATCTTCTCCGTCTAACACAGGCTGTACAGAGGAATGACTTCACAGCAGTCTCCCAATGAACAAAGGGACATAACTGAGAATGACTGTAATTATAATGTAGCACTTTATCACAGTGAGACAGAAGTCGACGCTATACAGGAGACCCGCTATCTTCCCTATTGTCCGTCGTATTTGTAGATTCTATATTATTTTCATTGTCTTCATTCTCCAGAATTTTCTCTTCTGACTTTTCACTCAGCTTGTCCTCAATGATTTGGCTTTTTTCACTGTCCTCAGACACTTCCTTTGTTTGTTTGTCAGCAGTTTCTGGGTCGGATTCGGCCCCCTCTTTTCCGACGTCTGTTTTCTCTTGGTCCGTTATTTCTTCCTGTAATTTCTCACTAGTCCTTTGCTCACTGCTCTCCCTGATTTCTGATTGTGTTTCCAATGCGTCTTCGTAATCATCGTTACTGAATCGTCTTTCATCATCAGCACCTGTCTTGGTTTCCTCTGAAAGCCCTCCTGGGTCCTCACATGAATTTTCTGTGGGAGGAACCTCAGCACTTTGTTCCTCCTTTGTTGTGTCCTTGCACTCAGTGTCCTCACTGTCCTCGGAATGAACGACGTCCTTCTGATTGGACGAGAACTCGGTCACCTCCTCACTGAACTCCTCGATCAGGTTGATCTCGGCTTTCTGGACACCCCCCTCCGTCACGGCGTTCTCTGTGTCCTCGCCTCCCGTGAGAATGTCCTCAGGCACACTGAGAGGTTCCGGCTCCTCCATGAACTCCTCCAACGGAGGCTCAATCTCGGTCAGAGACTCAATGTCTGTGATTTCCTTGGGTAGGTTAGTGGGAGGGGAGACCTCAGGTTCAGCTGTCTCAGGATCCACGTCAAGATCATCAGGTACTTCCACTGTATCCTCATCCACCTCATTATGATCTGACTGAACATCTGTAATCAAAAGGTTCTAATATAAGGATCTGACTGAACATCTGTAATTACATGGTTCAAACATAAGTATATGACTGAACATCTTTAATCGAAAGATCTGATTGAACATATGTAATTCAAAAGGTTCGAACATCTTCAAACCTTTCAATTCTGCAAAAACTGGATTGCACACCAGACTTGAGTCTGTAATGTCCTCTACAATAAGCAAACCCTGTAAAACACAACACTGAAGTCTTCCCTACCTGGCATGTCCTCATCCTCTGTGTTGGCTACGACCTCAGTATCCGAGAACGATGAGGCGTCCGAAATAAAGCTCTGAGGTCGGCCCTGGACCGGGGCGAGGGCGGCCGTGTTAGACCCAGACACACGCCTCTGGATCTCCCGCAGCATATTCAGTTCCTCTTGAGCCGCCTTAAGTTCCACACGAAGGCGTTCTCGTTCTTCATCTCGACTGTTCACCACCGCCTACAAGACAAACAGCCAATCAAAGCACTGGTAGAATTCAAATCAACCAATCAAATTGAAATTATGCTTAAAGGAACTATTCAGCAAATAAAACTACTAAAAAGTGGAACAAGATTAAACAATTGATTGTTAATCTTAACAAGATAAAGTGGGGCCATATACTGAAACATTGCTGTCTTCTCCATGTTTACAGGAGACTCAATTCTGGCCCCTTGAGCATGCAGCCTACTTTTAACTATCAGGTTTATTACTGACTGTCCACAGAAATATGTCCCATTTTTGTTCAGTTCCAGCCTGCTATGGACTTTTATAACCTGATTCTGTGGACAGTCAGTCTCAAACTTTATGTTCTGTTTTGTCAAGGACCAATAAAAATTAACATAAAGAATAGATCAATGGCAAATAAAACTTCATTTTATTTGCAACGAGGACATCCAAAATTTGTTACTCGCCATCCACAGAAATGGTGATGGCAGTTGTGTGATGTGATCAAATGACAAGGGCATTCTAGTCCAAGGCAAAACAAAACAGGATGCTTATTGTTAGAATCTCACCATCACAAAATGGACTATTTAAATTATTTAATTTGTTAGTGTTCCTTATATGAATATATAAATACAGTTCAAATGTCAAATTCCAATGATTTGATATACACCACTATATATATATTTATGTGAATATACATATCTACTAACTCCTTCTACAATTTAACAAATAAATATCAGTTTAAAAATATCCCGTCACTTCGTGACCCTATGTTAATTCTACTGGTATATAAATTCAACAGAGATTTTAAATGGGTATCTCCATCAGAATGTGGCTCTTATTAAGTAAATATGTGTACTTCCTCATTTCTTGTTTATAGTGGATCAAAAGATGAACTGATTTTCAGAAATGAAATGAAAACATTCTGAGTGAAATTTAATTCTTTACTCTATATGCTCTTTGTAATTTAAAGATTACCATAACTAACACATAACTTTCAATATAGAGCAAATATACTTCTTCTAAATCTAATTCATCATTTACTAAGTCTGGAATCCCTGTAACTCTTATTTTGTCTCAAATCCATACATGTTAACCTACTGTGATGAAAAATAGGGAGATTCCAACCACGAAAGCGGTAGCATTGCACGCGTTGTTTTACGCTTGGATTTATGAAGATATATTGCATGTAATATACATGTATGGTTTTAAATGAAAAAAAACAATTATTAATCTAAAATATCTATTGCAATGAAATAGACAGAAACACATTAAGTTTGACATAAAATATACATATTCAAATATTTTTTATGTTCATTTTGCTATATTGGCTACTTAACTTAGCCTTTTGAAGAGTGGTCTTTGCTTATATAGCCTAGAAGCAATAACTCTGAATGTTCTTAGTTGTCAAACACAACAAATGATGACAAAGTTTAATCTAGATCTAAAACTAGTCCCTGTCTTTCTTTAAATAAATCAGATTTCCCGCGATGATCGAAAACGAAAGTAGAGATGTTCCTCATGGCTTGGTCAATAAAGTGATTTCTATTGACTTTATTGATTAAATTGCGAGCTCCTGTGATTTTATATACGATGTCAAAGATTTTTATCCAATTCTAAAATGCTGTATCTCCTTTTCATGGCAGTAATGTCGACGAAATTTATCGTAACCAATGTAATCAGTAATCACTGATTTTGTTCTGTTGTCGTTGTCAAATACGTGCTTGAAATCTATGTACACATCGGTACAAAAAAGCGTTTGTATGATTCCGGGTCAAATCACGCGAAATCTAACGAGATTTCATGACGAGTGGCTTCAAAAATGGATACCCAAGCGAACCAAAAATACTTTAGACGAAATTTTTGTAGAAAAGCGGTAGATTTACGAATAAAATCGGTAGGCGGGAGATGGAGTAAAAAAGCGGTAGACTCCCGCCTAAATCGGTAGAGTTAACATGTATGCTCAAATCATCTTTTGATCTCATACTGCATAAAAATTGCAGCATACTATACAGTCACAGTCTGATTAGGAATTAACCATGTTAATTGTGATGTGTGGAAGATATTGAATAAAAAAGGCATGCTGGCTCTTTATCCATGAAAAAAAAGAAAAATATCTCTTGTAAAAAAAATCAATTTGTTGTAGATTATAACAATATGTTGTAGATTAAAAAAATCTTTTTGTGATCTAAATTTATTTCTGCTGAAGGGACTTTCAAATAATAAGTATGGAAGAATTATAATACATAACTCAACTTACAGCAAAAACTTCACGTTAAGCCAACCAAAATTATGAAAAAATTTGATAAAACATTTCAATCAAGTCTCTTTCATAAAAAAAAAAAAAATCCAAAATAACAGCCCATGCAGCAACTCTAAAGATATGTTTTTACAAAGCCACACAAGAAAACTAAAAATCACACTACTACTGATGACTCACGGAGGAAGTGGCGGGGGTGTGCCCCGAATTTAGAGCCGCATACTGTCTGGTTTTTTCCTGAAAGTCACCCAACACAGCAAATGTTATCAAACTGGCAACAACAGTCACATACAGTGATGTCAAAAAGAGAGTGCATCTAGTTTACAAATGTAACAACGATCAGATGCCAATAATTGGGAGGTGAAATATTTACCACTCATCTAAAAGATTCCAGATTTCATTTTATAAATTTGAAAATTTTTCATTTGGAACAAAAATTATATCGTATGTCCTGTGTTCCTTTTTTGTTCATGTGCATCACATGATAACACTAACATTATAGGGCTGTCACGGTTCCATATTTTTTTGGGTCGGTTCTTAATTTTTTAGGTTTGGTTTTGGGTTTTTTTCAGTCTGGGTATATAACAGAATAAAATTATTGATTTGAATTACATGTACAGTGTATATTCAACATTTTTTTTTATTTCTTTTAATCTAAGAAACTGCAACATAATGACTGGTTTAAAGTAAATTCGTAACTCGAAAAATAATTGAACCAAATGATTCAAATCACATTATAATGGTAATGTACTAATGAACCTTTCGTTTTAGACACCATTTTTATGGTAAAACCTACTCTATTGTACAAATCAGAACCGAACCGGATTCCGGAAAAAAGAACCAAACCCGACCCAAATTAATTGTTCTGTGGTTCTGGGTCATTTTGGTTACCTGTGACAGTCCTAACTAACATGTTTGGCACAATACACTTGAGACTCAAAACTTAAGAAATTTTCCAGTGGCAAATACAACCCTTATCAGAAATTCTATCCTATATATTTACAACATCAAATTTAACACATCTGAAATCAGTTCTAGCAGAGTATAGGAGTACAACATGAACACAGCAATATATAGTGTCATTATCAGCCTAAAGCTTAACTCTCTGGCTAAATATTGCTGTAAAAACACTTCACTCCAATAAGCTGAAGTAAATATTCTCCCTTACCAGGAGATTGGTGAGAATTTGGTTCATTCTGTTGGCCATCTCTCGGAGTTTCTCCATTGGTATTGGCATCTTCAGATCCTCCTCTGCTAGTCCAGCTACAATAGGAATTAATCACAATTATAGAAGCAATTATATATAACACGGCAAACAGTGTTCAAAGTCTTTAACATTTCGTTTCATTATTTAATCAGCTTTGTTTTGTAAAAGCAATGCAGCAACACTCACAACTGAAGGTAAAGCTGTTAGACAGATGGACAGAAATCAGAACAAAATGTTTCTCTAGAAGCAATTTAATCAAAAATGTACTTATTTTCTCCATGCTAGATGAAAATTCTCTTTAACAACAAATCCTCTTATAAATCAGTATAGCAATTTATTTTCTTAAATAAAAATACGGAATTTCAACAGAAAAAAATTAACTGCCTCTAAAAATTGCACATATAATCCAAAGTTTATTATAATAAAATTTCATTAAAAAAACTTTTTGTTTGTGTTTTTTTTCCTGAATTGAATACCAAAATAATAAATAAACAAATAATTGCTTTATATTTCATGCTTAAATGTAGCAAGCTATAGAAGGCACCACACACACACAGACAGACAGACAGACATGCATACGTGAAGTAGAACATACATTCAGCATTGTTTAACAAAACCAAACAATTCTGTGTCTCTTGACTGAGGGCGAGCAGGTTATCACTGGTGTTAGCATTCTCTGGCATCTCCTCCACCATCTACAACAAAAACCACAACGCTCTAATATCAACCAATATACTAAACTCTTCTCAGGATTTTTTTTGTTTTTAACATGTTTTTTTAAGCATATTCCTTTAAGAGTTACATGTATATTATAAGAGATTTTTGTGAAACACTTAAGCCCCCCTCCACCCCTTTGATCACATATGGGAAGAAAAGGAAAGGAAACTGCAAATAATCGAAATTTTTGTAAGTCCAAGGAACATAACTCTATCAAAAATTGCTTGATCCTACCCAAATCAGAGCTTGACCTAGATATTTAAAGATAAACCTGTATACCAAATTTCTTCAGTATGTGCATAGAAAATGATTGGAAACTGCATATAATTGGAATTTTTCTATGTCCAAGAGACATAACTCTGTCCAAAATAGCTCCATTGTATCCCAAAAAGAACTTGCTCTAGTTATTGTCCCCCGCTTGAAAAGTGGGGGATATTAATTTGGGTTTGTCCGTCCGTCCGTCTTTCTGTCTGTCTGTAACGCTTTCGTTTCCACACAATATCTCGAGAACCCTTTGAGCTTTTGCAATGAAATTTAGCATAGCAACTCCCTATGGACTAAAGAAGACCCCTATTGATTTTGAGGGCAAAAGGTCAAAGGTCAAGGTCATAAATAAGCAAATTCTGTCTGTTAAAACACTTTCGTTTCCACATGATATCTCTAGAACCATTTGAGCTATTGCAATGAAATTTTACATAACAACTCCCTGTGGCCTAATGAAGACCCCTATTGATTTTGAGGTCAAAAGGTCAAAGTTCAAGGTCGTAAATTTATACATTCTGTCTGTGTGTAACACTATCATTTCCGGGCGATATTTAAAGAAGATTTTGAGCTTATGCAATGTAATTTTATACCAAAACTCCCTAGGACATCTCTCGCCCCTCTCAAGGTGCCCCGCCCCGTTTATTTTATTAGTATTTATAGTATTACATGTCGCTATTTTTAGCACAGGGGCATGAGGAGAGTTATTGCGCATAAAACAGGTTCTCGGCAGACTTTATGTTCTTATTACATCTATTAGAACTGTTTAATAAAGGCTAAATAAATCAAACACCATGGATTGTGTAAAAATTTGAGAATATCGAACATGAAAACATGAATATATACATGCATGTGACTTCAGTTCTGCATATACTTTACACCGCGTAAAGCGATTCCGTGGTCTAGTGGTTATGTCTCTCGCTTCAAATGTGAGAGGTCCCGGGATCAAATCTCGGTCGATCCTTATTTTTTTTTTTTTTTTTTTAAATACTTTTTTTTTTTTTAACTAAATGATAGTATTCAGCATGTGAAATGAAACCAGAAGTCTCTGTCGAGACTGTAGCTCTACTGGTTTATACTTAAAACAAAGGAATAGAAATGTAGCAGTTGGGACTTGAAAATTTAAAAAAGCAATAAAAAGAAAAATGATGCTTGTTTCCGCTCATCAAAATAAAAACCTATCCACAGTATTATGTATCTTAGTATAGTCTACTTGTGTGCCAAGTTAAAATGAATAATCATTAGTGCCCCTTACACAAAACTGTAGGAGGAGTAGCATTTTGAAAGAATTTCACAGAAATTTCTATTTTTTCAGTAATAACGCCAACACTGTTCGTCGAAATCAAAAATTGATACACAGAATTATGTATCTTAGTGTAGTCTACTTGTGTGCCAAGTTATATTGAAATCAGACCAAAACTGTAGGAGGAGTAGCATTTTGAAAAGAATTTCACAGAAATTTCTATTTTTAGTAACAACGCCAACACCGTTCGTCGAAATCAAAAACCGATACACAGAATTAGGTGTCTTAGTGTAGTCTACTTGTGAGCCAAGTTATATTGAAATCAGACCAAAACTGTAGGAGGAGTAGCATTTTGAAAGAATTTCACAGAAATTTCTATTTTTAGTAACAACGAAGACACCGTTCGTCAAAATCAAAAACCAATACACAGAATTATGTATCTTAGTGTATTCTACTTGTGTGCCAAGTTATACTGAAATCAGACCAAAACTGTAGGAGGAGTAGCATTTTGAAAAGAATTTCACAGAAATTTCTATTTTTAGTAAAAACGCCTACACCGTTCGTTAAATCAAAAACCAATATACAGAAAAATATGTATCTTAGTGTAGTCTACTTTTGTGCCAAGTTATATTGAAATCAGACCAAAACTGTAGGAGGAGTAGCATTTTGAAAGAATTTCACAGAAATTTCTATTTTTAGTAACAACGCCTACACCGCTCGTCGAAATCAAAAACCGATACACAGAATTATGTATCTTAGTGTAGTCTACTTGTGTGCCAAGTTATATTGAAATCAGACAAAAACTGTAGGAGGAGTAGCATTTTGGAAAATTGTTTACAGACAGACAGACAGACAGACAGACAGATGGACAGACGGACGGACGCCGGACGCATTACTATCGCATAAGCTCTTCTGGTCTCTGACCAGTAGAGCTAAAAATTATGAGGTTATAAAATCATCATTACAGTGTGATAAATATTCCATATAAAAAAAATCTTCTATACACATAATAAAGATAATAAAGAATAAGCAATCAAATCTTTATATGCATATTGACATACATGTATTTTATTTGCTTCAGTATACATGTATACATTTAATAATCCTACAAATTCAGTCATGGGGAGCCGACTTTTTCCCTAAGCGGGGGACACGAATTCTCTGAATTAGCTTGTTCTTAAGAAAAATCTGTATAATTTCATTTCAGTATGTGCAATCTCTGCGAAGAAAATGAATGGAAACTTTGATTGACCGACATACAGCAGCAAAACAATATGCCCTCCCTTCTTTGTAGTAAAGTTAATATATTCTAAATTCTTTGGTTGTTAAATCAATGAGACATGTCCACACAATGCAAATAATGCACAGGCTCAACATTGTGTCACATCAATTCATTTTTATGTTGCTCGACAAATGGATTATACTTATCCATAACATTTAACTTCAAATCAAGTTAAAGCATTGAGGATTTCTTATGCAAAATTCCAAAGGGATATAATTACATGCTATTTTAACTGGACTTGAATTCACTCAATTTACATTTCTGATGAACCTGATAGTGTGTAAACAATGTCTCAATGTCAATGATGAAAAAATATAATGAAAATTAGTCAAAGGATCATACATCTATTTATATAACAATTATTTGGTTTCAGATAATCTCCATCATAACAACTGTTTTGTTTACATTTAGCCAGAGAAATGAGAGCTGTGTTTTGATTGGCTGTCGTACCTGTAGCCTCTGTGGGACCTCGGCGGTGGGGATGTTGAGGACCTCCGCCACTAGCACCGTCTTCTCCTGAAGGTGTTCCTGTAACGTCTCGTCCAGCCGCCGGATCTTCTCTGGTGAAGGCGAGAGAAAAATGACACTCAAAATCATGCACAGACACTAACTCGGCTAATCTCAGGGACAACACTAGTATCTGTTAGTACTAGACTCAGATCTATAACATTGTGAAGGTGTCTTTTTTTTTTTTTAACATGTGTTCAATTTTCAAGACTTTTTCCCCTTCTATAATAATTTTTGATACCAGTAATTTGTAATTTGAAGATTCTTCTTTCCCAAAGATTGCAAAACAAACAAGTAAAGTTAAACTCTATTTTGAAGTACAGTAAGTTTGAATTGAAAGACATTGTCACAATGTTATAGGTTGCTTTTCAAAATTGCAAAATACTGGTAACAAAAACAGAACAGCCGATTTCATCTCATGCCTGCCATACAGGTGTTAGTAAAAAGGTGACACACGGCAGCCTCTCATCAAACTCCAGGATCTAGTAATCAGAAATATCTGGAGGGAGGGACAATCAAATCTCCTCAGGGATGGCCTTATACTTAAAATCATAAACATGTGTAAAACTAGTTCATGTTTTCCTCTTCCATATCAAACCATAGACACCACCAACAAAATGCACACCTGTATAAAATAGTGATTATCAGATACTGCATTCCTGACTGAGACTGAATGTGAAGTGACTGTGACATACCTAGCGGGGTCAGGACGGGCTCAGCCTTCTGAGTTAGTGGATTCTGTACAGTGATCTCATCAGGCTGAATGAGCTCCTCCTCTATATCTTCCTCCTGTCTCTCGGCACTCGGCCTGTAAAACAAATTGGACCATTAACTTCATCACTACACTTATTTCTGTCCACAGCCAAGTCACTTACTGTAACCCTTAACTTTTTATCAAATGTGAGAGATATCTGACTTCTGCAACTCCTCTTACAAGTGAATATTTGCCATTTATTCTAATGTTAAATGGTTTGAAATATGTATTTTCAGTTTCATTTGTGAAAATTTTTAGTTGAAAATTCTTCAAATATTTGTATTTCATTATGTTAATTATGTCACACATACACCAAACCTTTTTACATGTACAGTGAGATATGCTATATGCGGGGCCTCACCTTCTGATGATCTGTGGAGGCTCCACGGCCAGCTCATGCACCTGTGCCGGTTCCTGGGCCTTATCCTTTCTCTTCTTGAAAGTTTCAGCTGCTTCTTTGATATGTCTTATCCACCTAAAAAAAAAATCAGTTGTTGGATAAGTATCCAAGAAAAAAATAAATCAGTTAGTTTGAACTTTCCCACCCAAAAATAAAACAGTTGTTAATTTCGACCAAAAAAAGAGGTAAAAACTGATTTAGTTACAATATATTTATATATATTATAAGATATGACAAAACAATTCCAACTTTAAAATCATCTCTGTTTTTTATTACTAACACTGAAATTAAACCGATTTATTCTATACTTACTTTTTCTGTTCTTCTGTTGATGTTGCGGAGAGCTCATAAATCTGGGTTTTTGAAACAACGAAGAATGCCTTCTTGTCTACAAATAAAATGAATTTAGATGTAAGAGAACAGTGAATATTTGAAGTACACCATTGTAATGCACCTTCTGGTGTTGATTGTATGATAAATTCAGAAGTAAATAATTTTCATTCAATATTTTAGAATAAAACAGAATTCCACACAAAGTTTTGACTTACTTTTTGCCCCCCTCCCCCGTACCTATTACAGATGATCCTACATATATATTATCAGAGAGTATAAAATAATCAGATAGAATTCACCATGCACTCCAAGCTAAATTTTTTCTGCCCCCCCCCCCACCCTCCTCATACATAAATACATGTAGATCACTTACAAGATTAAACCATACCTTTACATTGAACTAACAGACATAAATGTGGTGTTACTCAGCCTTTCATGGATTAACCAATTCCATCACAGACAGATGATAAATCCTGATATTTACCCGTGGCTTTGCTGTTGGTGTGGAGTACGTTCTCCAGCCTGAGAAGAGGACTGAACTGATATCGGCTGTCTTCTTTACCGGCCACCAGTTGAGTAGATTGCTGTTTGAGAACCAGTTTATCGTCCTGTTTCTGAAATAGCACTAATAAGTCCTCTAACAGTACAACGTGACAGTCGATTGACTTCCTCTGGTTAATGTTCCACGTTAACGCTCCGTCCAACATCAGCTTATGTTTACCCAGATCCAGCTCCTATAACAACACAAATCATTCAGTATTTTACTAATAAAAAATTATATTAGTGATTTCAGAGTCCCTTTAAATGACAACAAAACATGTGCATTGATTATATCATTGAAAAATCATATTTCCTTGGAGTTAAATTTTTGAGTGTGGGTAAAATGAAGTGCTTAGTTCTTGTAATTTAAATTTCTACATGAATATTTGTATTTCATTATGTTAAAATTATGTCACACATAAAACATAGGTAATCAAAGATTACCTTTTTACATGTTATCAGTTTAAGCAATGCAAAACTCACATCATATTTTCTTATATTTAGTATTCTCCCAACTAGGCCAGCTATATGCACCTCGATATATCGTGATCCTGGGGACTTACGCATATCAATACATACGAAAGTTTCAAAACCTTACTTCTATTTTTCTTTGTTTATTTAACATTTGGGGTCTTATATAAAGTAAATAAAAATATAATTATAGATGTGAAATAAATAATAATTTACACCACTTGAGTAAAAAAAACATATAATCAACTATTTTGAATAAATTATTCTTATTTGCAAAAAAATAATTTGTTTATTTCAATGCAAAAACAGATTTTATAAAATTTAACATATCGTGATACATATCGTAGTTATCAATATATTTACGTATATTAAAAAGTTATGACAAACCAATCCCAACTTTAAAATTCTTCAAGTTGTGTTTAACCCCTTTCATGGCATATACACATTTCTACGCGTGTAGCGTGAAAAACATGTATAGTGTAAACAAATAGTCATAACTGTTAATACTGCAGTAATTAGTACTGCAGTAATCAAGGACTTCAAGTTCATCCGGATTGATCTGTTCCCAACACTTTAACCTGGTCTCTTGTATAGAAAATATAGAATGCCAGCATCCAAAGCAAATAAAATGAATTTAGATGCATCATCATCCATGAAGTTTAGTGCAAATAGGGCTTATAGTTACTTGGGAATGAAAATGTAGGTCAGATCCAGCATCCAAAGCAAGTCTGGTAGTGTCCATCCATGATACATTCCATGCAAGTTTAGTAAATTTCTTACAGTTATTTTAGAATGAAAAAGTATGTCCACACAAAGTTTTGACCATCCCTAGACACATCATCCATGCAAGTTTGGTCCAAATAGGGCTTATAGATATATATGAGAATGTAAAATAATCCAGCATCCGAAGCAAGTCTGGTAGTGTCCATCCCTAGATACATCATCAATGCAATTTTGGTTCAGGTAGAGGCTTATAGTTACTTGGGAATGAAAAAGTAGATCAGATCGAGCATCCGAAGCAAGTCTGGTAGTGTCCATCCCTGGATGCATCATCCATGCAAGTTTGGTCCAAATAGGGCTTATAGTTTCATGGGAATAAAATGTAGGTCCATCACAGATCAAAGCTATGATAAATCCCTTGATACATATCCATGCAAGTTTGCTGTTGGTGTGGACTTATAGTTACTTGGGAATGAAAATGTAGGTCAGAAGCATCCGATATCGGCTGTCCATCCCTACCGGCATCATCCATGCAAGTTTGGTACAAATAGCTGTTCCTGTGAAATGGACCAGCTTAAAAACTTTAACCTGGTCACTCATCTGAAAATATAGCACTAGCATCCGAAGTTTTGTAGTGTCCTTTCCTAAAGCATCATCCATGCAAGTTTGGTCAGGTAGATTATAGTTCCTTGGTTAATGTTCCAAAAACTTTAACCTGGTCAACATCAGAAAATGTAGGTCAGGTCCAGCATCCGAGCAAGTCTGGTATAACAACACAAATCATCATCCATGCATTTGGTACTAATAAAAAAATTATATTGGGAATGGACCTGCTCCAAAAACTTTAACCTGCTTCAAAAACTTTAACCTGGTCACTCATTGAAAATTATATCCAGCATCCGAAAAAGTCTGGTATTACATCCATAGATGCATCATCCATGCAAGTTTGGTTCAGGTAGGGCTTATAGTTACTTGGGAATGGACTTTCTAAAACTTTAACCTCAGGACGCCGACGCTAACGCCGACACCGACGCCGGGGGTATAGCATAAGCTCATCTCGACTTCGTCGAGGTGAGCTAAAAAATTGTTTCATAGTATTAGTTTAAATGAAAACTAAAATGTATGACCCGATTATATTGGCATAGTTACCCTAAATTCTGGATGATCCAGTTGTTTCTTGTCAATTCTACGTTGTAACATTTTTAGTTTGTAGCTGTTTTCACAGTCCTTCACGGCTTGATTGACATAAGCCAGAATTTGTTTACTCAACTTAAGGGCTCGTTCCAGCCGAGCATACTCCTCAGTTGAAGCTGAAAAAAATCAAACCAGTTTTGAGCAATAATTCTGCAATAATTTGATAGAAACAAATCGCAAATCTACATCTAAAGAAAAAATTAAGAAACTTGACAGATTTAAATGATTACATGCCATGATAAACTTACTTTGAGTATATTTCATAAGATTTTCTATTAATAGTGGATATTTGGTGAGACGCATCATCTGTGTAGGAATTAAGTCTCGTAGCTGAAGCCGGCGCATCAAGGGACTACTTTCTGCCTCCTACAAGAGGACCAATCAACAATACAGTTATGTTTATCTGGGATATATCATAACTACTTTATTTAGATTAACATTTACATTCACTAACCATAAGGAAGTTTGCCAGCTTGGAATCTTTTCTCTGTTTTGCCCGTAATAAATCTAGGGCATATTGCTGGTTCTGACAAAATTTGGCACAGCCATTACGGAATGCTTCTCCCTCAGTTTCAAACTGAAATCAATAAATCTTCTCAATCCACAAGTGTTTATGCACAGTATAAGTAATTGAGCATTTGTGTAACCAGATGACTTGTGTTGTTACCTAAGCCAGTAATTTTACTTTAGATTCCTAATCGTACGCAAGGAACTTATCCTGCAATTTCATGAGAAGCACAACTTGCAAAATAAAATGATTTGATTTTACTTTTAGATCTTCAATGCAGGTAAAAATTCCTTCTCAACAGTTCACTCACAAGTTCATTTTCTCGTGATTTGACAACAACCTGTAACTTAGCCATACTAAGTTCCTGCATACAATGAGGTATGTACAGTATTTCAAACCGAGGTGACCGTCCAAGATGCCCTATGTACTTACCCGAGCCAGTAATATTTCCCCAACCTCTGTCACCACCGAATTCTGCTTCTTCTTTTCTTTCATTGCACAGTTCATTGAACCTAAGTAGTAAATGTATACATGCAGTAATACATTTCTCACATTAAAATTTATATCATCAACTTTTTAATGCCTACTGCTCACTATAGTCTGGTATCACAAAGCTACACTATTATTGGAATTCACATTTTTTTTTATTTACCAAAAGTAAATTCTGTAGACAAACATTTAATTAAGGCAGAAAATCTTACCATGTAGAGCTACCATTTCCTCTAGGTTAGGGAATAATACATTAACCAAATCCTGGGATATATTAGGGTCCTGGGACATAGGTTTATAAAATAAGTTCTGTAATATCTTCAAGTTCCGACAGTGAGTTCTTTCTGTGTAAAACAATTCTGAAAAAAAAAAAAAAAAAAAAATTAACAATGAATTGTACATGCATATTCCCAATATTATCAGCTGAACAATTCATCAAAACTAGTATGCTTGATAATTATATCATACACATTATAGGACCTCTATTAACAAACCAGGAATAATAGATACTGCTTTTCAGTTACAAAAATTATATTGCCTATACAGAGCAGACACACATGTACCTAGTATATATTTATTGTCCTTTACAGATCAGCCAAAAACAGTTAAAACTTTAGACTTAGAGATCTGTTTTGGCCAAAACATATGACATAAAACATTACTTTATACATGTCCGATAAGCTAAACCTTACCATTTATTACTTCTAGTCTCTTCCTATCTTTTGGTCGTAATTTCTTGTAAACATCTCTAGGATAAATAGATTCTAAGGGAGGTAATTCATTTTCAACTTCGAAATCTGAGTCATTTTCTATGGTATGTGGAATATTATTAACAGCATCCATAGAACTGCTGGGGCTTTCCCCACTCCTGTAAAGAAGAAAAAAATAGTTAAGGCTAAAAGGTAGACAGAAGCAACCATTTTACAGTGTAGACAAGATAAATGTACATCAACAAAATCATCTGACACTGATCTTAAATATCATTTTATTGAATCCTTGTGAACTACAGTACATTTTTTTGGTGTAAAATTACTGTATATTTATGTCTTTCTCTTAGTGAAATGATTTCATAGATAAATAAATGATCAAAATATGCTAATTTTTGATATGATAATTAATCACATTTTTGTGAAAACATGCATGAGATTTAATTGAGAATTTAATAAATGGATGTGAATATGTGTATGCAAATTTCACATGGAAATTATAGGAATATCCCTACATGTAGAAAAGTAAAAAAAATATGCCTTTGCAGCTTCATTTAAATGATGTTTCTTAATGCAGTCTGTAACAGATTATCATATTGTGTATTTCAATTAATATAGATCCCTTATATTCTTCTCTTAACACACAATTCTATTACATGATACTGTTTGTAATATACTAAATATACAATTTGTGATATATGATGTTGGTACAGTGAAGTTGATAAAGTCTACAACCTGACCTTCAGAGTTGACATAACAAACATGTCCTTCACAAGATCCCTACTCTCAAGGAAACAATTCATTCTTCTCACTCAATACATTTATTTAATCTAACAGTCAATTTTTTTTAAGATTAGAAAAAAAATACAAAAATAAAATCTTTTTTTGTCTTTAAGCTATTAAAGTTACAAAAAGGTATTAGTTATCAAGGAAAATATGGACAACCAGTCAGTCAGCTGATTTCAGTAAACAAGTGATTTCAATAAATAAATGATCAGCTGATTAGAGTAAACAAACGGCGTCGTACCTGATACTGGAGGAGGAGGAACTGGGGGAATTCCCTGTTATGGTCCTCATCATGTTATCATCAATTTCCACGTCACTGAAAACGCAAAAAAAATGTCATTCAGAAGTCACTATAGATTCCTGCTTCTAAGGGATGAAAGTAAACAAAATTATGATCAAGAATATATATAAACATATTTAAAAGGGGGAGAAAAATATGCAGAACAAAACTGGAAAAATAAACACTGAAAGCTAAAATAACTTATGGAAAGTCTTAAATGACTTTTTTAAAATAAGAAGTGCCTTGAATTATTAACTCAGAATATTTTCTTAAATATGGGAAGAATGGAGTGAATGTGTTAGGTTAGAAGCAGTGAAAGAGGAGAGCAACTGACATAGAGTTAGTCCAAATCCCACGACTGACGGCATATAATCCAAATCCCTCGGACACATACAATCATACAGTGTTAGTATCCCACAGGCTACTACATGTACAGCCATCAGTTCTAATCCAAAACCCCATTAACAGGAAAGTATTAGTCCAATTCCAATATATTATTAGTTAAAATGCAGTACCCTTACAATGCTAACAGCCATACTGAATTCACAAGAGTACCACATGACTAAATGTCTGATCAATTTCATTCTTATATCTATCAAAGACAATGATCAATGCAGCGATTTGCATCACATATACAATTTTTTTGCAAATAAATCAAACATATAAATGTAGCTTTAAGTACCTTAACTTAACTGCCCATCAATTTCATACCCCAGCTCTATTTACGGTGGCTTGTTTAAAACATTCACAATTTTAAGGATTTTTTTTCGGTTTTTAATTCATGCAAAATAAAAAAAGAAAAAAAAAAGGACAAGGTGAAAAGATTCTGAAAATTTTGCTTCAAAACAAGGAGAAATCATGCTTATAGATATCAAACATAAAATTGTTGAAAAAAAAATCATGCTATATTTGATTTATGACTTTATAAAAAATATATCTTTCAAAAAAATGTACACAGCAACTTTTTTAAAAATTCATTTACTGTACAAATGGCCTCTTCTCTCTCCTTCCCTTAACCAAACCGTGCTAACTCGAGTTAAGACAACATGTACTAACCCCGAATCTAAACATTTGTACAGTGAAATGAAAACGGACTATCACAGAGCGGACGACCTAACCTGAATCGCCACCCTATGATAGTCACTCGGGTTATGCCAAATTCAATCAAGAAGACACATGCGTTAGATTCACCTTTTAACGCGACGTTGTTTAATTCTGCCTTTCTGGTCTTGCCGACCCTTTAAACTTTCAGATCTACTGATCTCAGTCGATTTCCTATAATAAGGTCAATAAAGGAAAATCATCCACATCAAAAAAAAAAAGCTGATAGCCTCTACTGTACTCAGGCTGATTATTGGAGAAAGCTCTGTGTGACAGCCAGTTCAAATTGATTCAAATTCATTCTTTTACTTTAATGAAATTTAATTTTTCTTTGAATGAAAATTTATACAGTTCTTAAAATAATACTGGGTTAGATTCAATACATATATATAGATACGATACTTTATACGATTTACATAAAGTTTATATTTTATACTTTGTCAAACCAGTCTTTGGTAATGAGAACCACAGCAATATTCAAATCCCTAAATATACAACTATTTATTGTTACCATGGTTTAATACAAGCACCAACCTAATACATAGCAAATCACTGACAGCTTAGACCAAATTATCAATCTCTTCCAATTTTAACTTTATCACAAAAATATGATATCTAAACTTGTTCAAATCAAGATTTTATGTAAACTGTTTGTTAAATGATATAAGGCTTGGGGGAAAACTTGCACTGGCTGTGCAGAGTATTAGAGAATATTAAGACTACCACCAGAGGATAAACAGGAAAGCTCAGCATGTCTCCGGCCTGAGAACTACTCTAGTTCTCCTGAGCTTTCCCAGTATACTGAAGCAGCACTACATAGATATATGATACATGGCTATGTGATATAAATAGCTCTGTCTAAGCAGCGAGACAATCTCTAGGTCTATTTTTATCTCTTGTATAGCAATTAATAGCATCCCAATTCACAAAGCTTCTTTACAAAAATATCTTGTCCTCTAAAAAGCTGAATGTGCCTGTATGTGCAGCTTTGTTGTTTATACTTATGTAACATGCTAATGATGACCTCTTGGTTACAGAATGAGGTCACAGTGACCTACTTATTGGCCATGTCCTCCACACTAGGGCTCTTCTTACGGTCACTCGGGGCGTCAGGGTTACCATTGTCATATCTCTTTATCAGGGAATTCACTGTATGCATGGGGGTTACTGAAATGGCAAAATATCAAAATGTGAATATTTTTTTTCAAATTTACTTACAAAGTAAATTACATGTAGTAGTAGAAGTCAAGTTTATAAGTGCTATTTTAAACCTTTTTAGATTTTTAGCTATATGTTTTGAAAGTTAACACTAAATCAGATTCATATGATTATTCTCACAGTAAGTTAAGTACAAAGTGTTATATCAAATATCTTTACATGGACAATATATTCTCATTATCATTAAGAACAAATTCAGTCTATTATCATACCACATCAGAATTTAAATTTTTTAATTTGTTAGAAGCTTTTCCATTGGTCCTTGTGTTACCTTTATCTTCTTCTCGCTCATCCTTTAAGGACTGTATGTTAAACGTCGTGGGATTGGCTGGACTTGGACTGGGGGCTTCTGAGGATGAGGGGACTAAAACAACAGAATAACCCCGTAAGTCACAGAGAAAAAAACAATGTATAGCTAACAACTAGCAGTACAAAGGGGACTCAAATGCAGTTAGTCTCCAAGACAGAGAAATATGTTACTTACAATGTGCTCAATGCATTATTTTTGAATACAGGAGAAAACCAAGTGATGTATTTCTTGAGTAAAATATTATTGCATACAATTATCCTCATGCTATGATGTTGTAATTATTTTGTCAAAAAAAAAGAAAAAAAAACAGTGTTGAGATGAGTATTAGGTTAAGTAACTGATAAAGATTGAAATTCCCCATATACTTGACCTACATTACATTCTCAAATGTCTGTGTATACAGAGTACCGTGTATAATTATACTGAGGTTAATCTTAATGAATTAAGTGTAATTTAGAAATTATAAACATGCTTGTCAAGCTTCATACATGCTCTTAATCCCTGCCTTTGTAGAGGCACACCTATCCTTGCTATAGTACATCTCTTAGATAATGTTAAATACAGTTAAAATACAAACCAGTATCATAAATGTTTTTGTCAGACAGGGAATTGTAAGACTATAAACTATATGAAGGTACTGAATGCCAAGAGTTGTGGAAATAGATATTCATATCTGATGACTCAGGCAAAACATTCCCCAAATGCAAAAATTACCTGATAAAGCCAGTGGCACATGGAAAACTTGTTGATAAAAGCAGAATATACATTAATGGCAGTGTTAGTCATTTACATCAAATCTATAAGTTTGTTAATACATGTATGTGCCTTTATACTTTCTGTTAGAGAAATCTATATATAAATAAAATGTTGTGTTAACTAAGAAATATGAATACTTTAATAGTAATATCGTTGATATCTATTAAAACTACTCATTAGAATGTGTTACACAACTACATCATGGGTGGTCAGCATTCAAGTGAACACACAAAATAGTGAACATTGTAACAAATCTGATCCTGAACACAATGTTGAACCCGAACAAAATGCTGAACCTGAACACCATTTACAAACTTATTTTGAACTTCTTAGAAATCCTCATGAGACTTCAATTAAAAACACAATCTGACAGGTATATAGTGTCAGTCTATTAACAAGGGTACATCTGTATACGAGATTAACTAGAATGTCTGCATTAGAGTCGCACACATACACAGACTGTGCAGAATACATTTCTACGAGAGTGGACATTTTATATCTAGTGATACCTGCTGGCCAGAGCTCGGGGAGGATGAGCTTCACCACGCCGTGACTACTTATTTATATACAACACGGCATTTCACTCATAAAACATGCATGTCATGCTTCTATCTTATTGTCCTTAGCCATTTTTACTTTATCATGCAAAGAATGAAATAACAAGCAGTTACAGTGTTATAAAATTATGGTCTGTTATTACAAAAAAAAGTATTCAGGATAAAAAAAAGCTAAAGATTCTGGCTTAAATTTGATGAAGTATTTAACCACGAGTGATCACCTGAAGTAAATCAGTGGTTTACTTCATGCGTTAGGAAGATATAGTCCTAAAGCTTTAAGTCTGTATCGTATATTACATACCTGATCGACTTAGTATTTGTTCTATACTAGAACTGGAATTTCGGTCTACAAGAAGTGCTACACAATCAGTATTCTATAACTTGGCAGTGTTCTTGCATTCAAAAATAAGGTTGTTATGATTAAAAATTTTGTCTTTGAGAGATATGACCCCTTTCCTGGTGTGGGCAGTTTTATACACTAACTCTACTCAGTACACAGATAAACATGACAAGGTGTCCACCTACCTGCTTGTGGTCTTGGAATATTGAACACAGATGAGTGAGGTCGGGGTCGCTTTTTCTTTGGACACTGATCCTCTAGGCTGTCCAGACAATATTTGTGTATCCACGACTCACAGTCTGAAAGTACACACAAATAAATACAGTCTTCACATGCTCAAGTCTGTCAGAACATCACCGTCTATTTTATACCTGAATTTGTTTATGCTTGTAGATATATGAAACCTAAGAAAAACATTAGGTCATAAAATATTTACATTTTACCTATCTATATATACAGTGTGTACTGCTTACATCATCCCTGACCCCTAAAACTTACACAGTCCCTGGCCCCCTTTAACTGACTCTTCTCTAACCCCTATAACTTACTGGAACACTGGTACCCCTGGATCCCCACTCCCCAGATCAGCTCTCTACAATGTATACAACTCTTCTCTAACCCCTATAACTTACTGGAACACTGGTACCCCTGGATCCCCACTCCCCAGATCAGCTCTCTACAATGTATACAACTCTTCTCTAACCCCTATAACTTACTGGAACACTGGTACCCCTGGATCCCCACTCCCCAGATCAGCTTTCTACAATGTATACAACTCTTCTCTAACCCCTATAACTTACTGGAACACTGGTACCCCTGGATCCCCACTCCCCAGATCAGCTCTCTACAATGTATACAACTCTTCTCTAACCCCTATAACTTACTGGAACACTGGTACCCCTGGATCCCCACTCCCCAGATCAGCTCTCTACAATGTATACAACTCTTCTCTAACCCCTATAACTTACTGGAACACTGGTACCCCTGGATCCCCACTCCCCAGATCAGCTCTCTACAATGTATACAACTCTTCTCTAACCCCTATAACTTACTGGAACACTGGTACCCCTGGATCCCCACACCCCAGATCTATACAACTCTTCTCTAACCCCTATAACTTACTGGAACACTGGTACCCCTGGATCCCCACACCCCAGATCAGCTCTCTACAATGTATACAGTTCTCCACCCGAGAAAAATGCTGTGGCTGGAAACTGTGTCCCTTCTGGGTCTGAAATAAAAATTAAACACAATATCAGTTTTTTTGCTGAATTTCCCATGATAGGAGAATTTAAATAAACTCCCATTACATAACAGTTTAATACTGTACTCCTCAGATGACCTTACCCTCTTTCTCTGGATCAAAGGTTTCTTTTTATCCTTTGCCATAAAGCTCTGTACTCTCTCCATGGAGGAGTGTTTTTTGTCCGCTATTCCATTATGTCTGAGGAATGTGGCTACAGCCCAGGCAATAGCATGACTCTGGTCAGGCTTACTCTCATCATCCGGTTGTCTACAATAAAGGGCAGTCAATTAACGACAAGATGTCTACAATAAACAGCAGTTAATCAACAACAAGATGTCTATAATAGACACCAGTCAATCAATGACAAGATGTCTACAGTAGACGCCAGTCAATCAATGAAAAGCTGTCTACCGTAGACGCCAGTCAATCAATGACAAGATGTCTACAGTAGACGCCAGTCAATCAATGACAAGATGTCTACAGTAGACGCCAGTCAATCAATGAAAAGCTGTCTACAGTAGACGCCAGTCAATCAATGACAAGATGTCTACAGTAGACGCCAGTCAATCAATGACAAGATGTCTACAGTAGACGCCAGTCAATCAATGAAAAGCTGTCTACAGTAGATGCCAGTCAATCAATGACAAGATGTCTACCGTAGATGCCAGTCAATCAATGAAAAGCTGTCTACAGTAGACGCTAGTCAATCAATGACAAGATGTCTACCGTAGATGCCAGTCAATCAATGACAAGATGTCTACAGTAGATGCCAGTCAATCAATGACAAGATGTCTACAGTAGACACCAGTGAATCAACATTAAAATGTCTACAATAAACACATCAATCTACAATGAAATGTCTACAACAAACACCAGCACATCAACAGGGACTATGTTTATGTGGGGGGACAGGATAAGTGGTATATGTATTAGTATGTAAAATTTACGGTATCTTTGTTTGCAGAGACTGTATTTGTACTATGCATAACTTACGGGACTTTCTCAATGTAAGGAGACAGGATTTGTAATGCAACTTCAGCTTCCTCTTTCTGCCTCATACTTGATGAATTAGTAATAAGCTGTAAACCATACATAGTGCCAAAACCTGAAATAAAAATCCAAAAAATTTTTAGTGTAAAAAATTTAAATTAATTCTCATAGAAAATTATTTTCTCGAAGGCTGGCTGTTACCCTGAGACTTAAATCTCTGCTTATGGTATGAATTATCTCCCCTTACCTAGGCCTAGTTTGCTGCAGAATCCTTGAAGGCTGTTGGAAATCTCGGTTTGAACAAAGTTACGAGCTCCATTAAACACTGTCCTTAAAATGTCCTCCTTCTCGGAAGCCTTACTGTTGAATGTCTCATTGATTCTCTCCACCAGGCCCTGGTCCACATTCACCTTTAGGGGCTGCAAATAAATTAGTAGGTTAACGGGAATTCATTAAGAGTTCATAGAGCTGTGTACAATTTACGACCGAAAAAGACTCAGTATGAATAAAGTCAATACACATAATTCCTTAATACTGTTTTACAGAATTATTTGTTATACCCTTATATAGCTTTCTATGTATTTATTACTAATAAAAAGTCCAACAAAAGAAATGTTTATTACATCCGTCTAACAATTTCACTGTTGACCGGCCTGCCGGTCCAACATAAGAATTGTAAGATCCCAACGTCACTGCTACATCACAAGTAATTAATCATCGTTCAATATCGGCGACACGGAAATAGCCGAAGTTAAGAGCTGTAAGAGTTGTTGCTTCTAGCAAGGAAGAAGGGAAGAGTATATGTTTTGTGATAAATAGTTTTTGTGATAAAATAAAAATATAATTAATTTTGTTCTTTCTCAGCTATTGTTTTATATTTGCTGATTAAGCCATAATTTTCCATATAAAGTAATTGATAATATTGTGTATTGATTAAATCTTAAAAGAGCACTGAAGGGTAAAACAAAACGGTTATACTGGGATTCGGGCAACATATGATTTGTGGGACCTGAAGGTGAAAATGTTGCCCGAGGCCGCAGGCCAAGGACAACATTTTCACCTTCAGGTTCAACAAATCATATGCTGCCCTCATACCCAGTCAATAACTGTATAATATTAATAATTTTTATGCAGAAAACAAACAAGTTTCTTTGGAAGATTACAACAAAACTAGCTTACTGCTCCATTTGCCAGATATGTCGAGAAAATCTCGAATGCCCATTTCTGTAATTCCTTGATACCGCCTTTAGCTTGCTGGTACACATTTGTGGTTATATAGAATAACTGTTGAAAAAAAAATCAAAGATAAAATTCATGCTCATTCTTTAAATTTGTGTATCTCTTCAAAGATGTCAAATATACTAACAACTGTGATAGCTTCATACTGTCTCTATAAATTACTCATAAAAACCCTGCTCTTTTAAATCAAAAACTTTACTGTTACTTGATAGATATTATTTATATTGAGTGTTAGATTATTTCTGGACACTAAGAAGCTACAAACCAGGGCTGAGGGTGACTCATTCTGGAGGACAAAGTTGAGGAAGACAGACATATGGGCAGGCTTGGCCTCCAGCTGATGTAGACTACTGAAAGGCCCACAGTCATCCAGCTACAAAACAAAAACGTCCAATCACTGTATACACAGAGGTCAACAGACACCCCACTATACAATTTAACAAAACAAGTTATTGACCAGAGGACAGTTGAGAAAAAATGTCAAGGATTCTCTCTGCTCCTTTACTTAACCATATCTTCATGCAATATTCTGTAAGGAACAGTAAAATTATACAAATTAATTAAGCTTTGTGTGTACCCAGTAGTCATTACAGTATAGAATGGCCAGAATAAGGGGAGGCAATTTTAGATATATTTATATCTGGATATGTTTGACAATATGAAAGTGGAATTGTAGGAAGACCTCATACAAGATACAATAGGTGTAGTACATGTACTAAGATATCCCTGTAGTCAGGTTACAGTGTGTACAAATATAGTAGGATAATTATAATAATACATAATATACTGAAGGACTCGATACAACAGGCCCTTTAAGCTACCCATCAAAGTTTGGACATTATACATTTTACATGCACATTTCTTCTGTTTATACATTATTAAAAAAAATCTTTCCTCTCTGAAAGCTGAGAAATTATTTTTTTCTTTCCTCAAATTTTAGTTGTCAATGAATAACATATCACAAGTGCATGTGATTTACACATCAATATTATACTAAAAGAAGCGAAAATACACCAAAAGTTTAAATTTCTCCTTATTCTCATTGATATATTTTCAGTCTCTGTATTTTTGCTGCAAAATTAATTAAAGCAACTTTAGTATATTCCGCATTTCTCTGTCTATCTCTAGGTATAAGCATACATATAAATGTAATCCAAATAAAATGAAAGGTCACAAACATCTGTTTTTCTGGTTCGATTTATCCACCTACATGTTGCTAGTAAACCATTAAATCAGCATTAATGGTAACATATAAACATATGAAAAGACAGGTATTCCTTCATTAAAAGCTGGTTTAGTAAAAAACAAAACCCACAGCGAGTCAATATATAAGCTTAATGGGTAGAAAAGGTCACTGTTTCATAGAGTACTTCATAAAGTTGAAAGTTTATACATGAATATAACCAATTCCCAGATGTATTTTGAATATGCCTGTACAAAAAATTTAATTTATAACAAAGAATAATGTGCATTGAACTAGAAATTTTAATGGCATCACCCTGCTGCCTTTTGATAAGCATATCAAATCCTGTTCAAGTTCGATTTACTCAGCTGACAATAATATGATATGTCAAATACCAGGGTTATGCCTGAGTTAATAAAGTTGCCCTAAACATATTACAATTTATTAGTATCCTTCTTTAATAGTCAGGCCCATAATTTTTCCACATTCTAAACCCAGGTATGAGTGTAAAACTGTTAATATTTAATTTCAAAATTCTTCTAGAACAATTTTTTTTTTTAATTTTATCTTTAGAAATGTTATTGATATTTTATTTAATGAAATGCAGCAAAAAATATTTTAAAATCAGTTTTATAGCAGTAAGAAATTCAGAGAAAATTAATCACACATAAGATTTCTAGTGTGGTTTAAAAATTACCAAAAAGATTTGACTTATTAACCAATCAGAATGGCTATTAGAATTGCTGAGTTTGAATGACATGACGGGGTGAGACAAGGCTTAGCAGGATTAATTCTATAGCCACATGCTCTAGTACAGCGGTGCATTAATAAATTGTTAACCTCCGCTTGAGATCTGGCGTTTAAATAGGCACTTGTTAACGAGGAGGACCTCCCATTCACTGGTACCTGGATTAGGAAAAACAAACCAAATCATAAAATAAAAAAAAAAGACTTAAGACCATAATCCCATTGTCACATTTCAACATTGTTACAGATAATGATAATAAGATAAAAGAGGATACTGGTTTAAAATTTGAATACATGTACAAAATCAATATCCAAAGTTTTTATCTATCTGGTTCCCTATCCTGCATTTTGACTTTATCAACTTCCTTGTGTCAATAAGGAACATATAATCACGTCTATTCTAAATAATATCTTTACTATGTGAAGCTGGTCTTGAAAATCAATATGACTGACATTGAATTAATATTTATAAATGCCACAGTTAAAAGGGAAGGGGATTTCTTAACAGAAGTCAAAAATGACAGCTGAAAACATCAACAAAGTGACAACATTTCACTGGCATTTCAGAATCCATGCACTACAAATTTTAAGTAGTTGTTAATTATTAGAATCTCAATAAAACTAAGTTTATCTACAGTGTCTACATACATTCTTACAAGTAACTGCAACAGATTTTTTTTAAAGTTTATCTAATAAAGCTATCATCATTTAAATTTTCACACGTGAAAGCTAACATAAAATCCCAATATCTTGATTTTTTTTGTGTAAAATGCAGGAATATAACTGGTTTGTACATCCAAATAAGTTCTCAACTCTGAGTGTACTTCTTCTCATTTACAGAGTTATGTCCCTTGTCAATAATGGCTACATTTTCTGTTGCAATTACTCTGCAGTTATATAACAAATTCTTCATTCAAATGATTGATCAAGTGTGCATTTTAATTGTGCATTACATATCTGATAATATTTACTATGTAGGATGAGTACATACATGTATATAAAAGCCAATGTTCAGAAATGATTTCGAGAAAAACTATAAATTCACAACATATAGGTTACAGAAGCTTTATATATGCATACAAAACTAGTATTTATTTTGGGACTTGGTCACTGATTTTCTACCTTGTTTTGCATATCTTCATCTGAGTTGAATTCGTCCTCCTCTGCTGCTATGATTGGCATCTGTTGTTGTCCAATGGAAACCTGACTTGTTTGACTGATTTCCTAAACAACAAATAACACCATGACAACAGGTGACCTCCTCATCATAAAAAATCATCCTGAATAACGAAGTGGTTGCTTATTTTACAAGTTTAGCCTTTATCACTTCATATAACCAAAAGCTTTCTAGAAATATTTATCATCCTATACTTGAAATAAAATAAAAATGTGCTCACGTCGTACTCCAGGTCTTTCTTTTGGACGGATTGTGTGTCTTCTAAGTTGTTGGGGTGGGCGGGGGTGGGTGAGGGTGGAGGGGAGGTGTTAGGGGAATCCGACACACTGCTACCATCAGAAACTGGACCGGTGGTTCCCTGAAATTCACAACCACAGGTTTAATAGGACACAAAGATAAAGGTATGTGATTTAAATAATCAAATCAATAAGATGAGCATGCCAAAATATACACTTCATAGGTAAAAATACTGAAATTACTTAGATATAATCATTATAATGTGGCTTCATTTATAAATTGATTTTTTTTTTTTACAAGAAATAAGTAAAACTGTCCATTACTCTTCATGAAAAAAAAAATGTGTATGCATGCTGAGAGTTTGATAATTATTTGGTTTCATGCTTTATATTAGCTTAGCTCCTTCTTACATATCATGAGTAAACAGATCAAATGTGCAACTGAATTCAAGGAGATTTATTTACTTAACTCAAATACAATTGAAAAGTAATATTAAAAAACATTATTTTTGACAAAGAAACATAAAAATTATTCAAACAGAAAACAATGTTCTGCATTGTCAAACTTTTCAAACAAAGTGTAAAAATTATAAGCTCATCTTGAATCTAGAAGCATTTTAAACAAATCTTCAAATAGAGGTAACAATTTCTCTTTGTACAAAGTTTACACACTTGTGTACATTATTTACACACAAGCAGATAGTCTTCAATTTTTTTTCTACATACAATGTATATCAAAATGAGCTTCAATATCAATTGCTAAATCTAACTTAGTTTTTCTGTTAATAACAAATGCTTCATTCAAAATGGAAAACAAAATTCATATCCAAAACCTAAAAATAAAAAACTTCTCAACTGTTAGTACTAAATTATCAGAAACAAAACTGGAGTCTAGAATTAGCTTAAACAGAAACCCAATGCTTCAGATCCTCAGTAAACCATACTGGTACCTTCTTTATTCTAAACACTCGGCCTCGCCTAGTGCTAAACCTTACATGCTAAAATACAGGGTAAAAACAAAAATCAAAATACAGGTAGACAAAAAAATCATAATACAAGGACACAACATCAATACATCTACTGGTATTCTCTTCACAAACGGGACACTTTAAATTGGTGATTAAGTACACCATGCATGTTTTTAAATGAATGAATATTTAAATCTCTTTTCTATGAAGAACATTGACATAATGCAGAGAGAACAACATATTCAGCATGGATGAGGAGGCAAACAGAAAGCAAAGCTCTTGTTTACTGTATTCTGAATGACTCTGACTTACAAATGCTGATCTGTGAGTCAAATGGTGAAAAAGTGCAAAAGGGTAATGTGATAGTGATTAATGTCTCTGACTTTTTTTGAGCAAGACAGACACTGAGTGCAATACTGTAGTCCTTAAGAATGGTCAGGACACTCTCAGAATAGTAATACAGGTTATCCCCTGTAATACAGGCTAGCCCCGTAAGAACTACAGCATTGCCTCATGTCACTGTGTTTGAGGAACTGCAGGTCATACAGTAAGTGCTGGATCATCGTAAGAAATGCTGAATGTGTGATCAAATGTCTACCTCATATCAGGCATCAAGCATGATTAATTCTAGAAGGAAGATCAGAGACTGGCATGGCTGCTATCATCAGTGTTTGTTAAATGCTTGGTCTTTTCCATGAAAATATCTGGGTGTACAAACATTTAAACAGCACTGACGACTTAGATATATACCTCTGGACTTATGTCCCCTGGCTGTCGTTTCTGTACCGGTGCAGGCTTCCGAAACATAACTCGACTGCTAGCGTCAGACATAGAGCGAGATATAGTTCTTAATTCCCTAGTGTCAGGTGTAAACTCAATCGGGGTAGAACCTGACTTTTTATGTTTCGGACCATCAGGCAGCTAGCAATTGACACAGCAAACATTTAGGGTCCAAAAAAACACATCAATATAAACATAACTAACACAAACTAAAAACCTATAAACAACTTACAGTACATTAAATTGATAATGATAATAAAGCCAGATAAGAAGGAAACAATAAATGTTGTGAGAGAAGTGATATACATATAGTAGCCACGTAAGTTAATACAGAGACCACGCCCACACACCCGGACACGGTAAGGACTTACCCACGGAGCGACTGATCCGTCACCGTTACCGATGTCAGGACTACTTTCTTCTGCTGCTTGCGCCTGTAAGAAGACAACAAATAATGAAGAAATCTGTGACAGAGATATTTGTTAACATGAGGTCTACTGGACACTTCGTTAAAAAAATGTTTTTAAAACAAAGATATTCAAATACATCGTAATATATCAAATTTAGTAGAGGTATGGTACCATCATACACTGAAGAATGTTTTCAATTCAATAAATAAATACATCTGATAAACAAACATTTAATTTCCTGTTTTGTTTGACCTGTGAGAAGATGGAGGGCCAATCACTGCATGCGTTACAAAAGGTTAGCTACACAGGTCATAATAGATAGGTTATTGGGGTTTTCCCAAACTCAAGCAAGTGTTAATGTGATTAATTGAACTCTTACAAAACTCTGTGCTGCACACCTTAATTTTAATAATAGCTTGAATTTACCCCCCCCCCCCCTCCAGGCGTTCATCATTTGAACAAACTAGAATCTACACTACCTGAGGATGATTCCATATGAATATCACTAATCATAGTTTTGAAGTACTTGAAAAGAAGATTTTAAACGGTTTCCCTATATATCTGAAAACAAGGCCTCACAAATGTTGTCAATGTTTAATTAACACCTCCACTAAGCTTAGAAATCTGCTAACATCTTATGTAATACCATCCCCTTTCACTTTTAAAAAAAAGTTTTCCTTATTCACTGCATTACTTAAAGATTGAGATTACAATACCTCCTTTTCTGACAGTCACAATTACCCCAAATGCACAGATATTTTAAACATTCCTTATTGTCATCCTTTGAATCCAGAACATGATCAGCTGTCTAAACTTACAATGGGTCTGCAGTTAATTCTAATAACAACCAGTTATAAAGTTATTGTATTATGCTTCATTCATGCACACATTCCACACAACACAGTGCAGTCCAAAATTATGACAGTCTGAAAAGAATCTTAATTCTGCCTAGTAGTAATCCTATGTAACATTTGATCAACTGCTCAAAAATACAAACCACATTTATGAACAAGGGAAACACCCACCAAAAACAAAGGCAGTCTTCATAACTGATGTTATTTAAAAACACTGCAATTAAGTGAATCCATCATATCATAGTGAGACATCAGTCTTAACCAGGCCTATACACTGATGTATTGCCATGTAAAGTCACAGCTACCTAGATAGCTGATAGTACAGCAAAATAATTCTTATACACTGACCATAGCCAGATAGGCTGGACCATAGATTACGGTTGTTATCCACTACAGCAAACAAAACATGGGCAGGTGTGTATTCCAGACTAACATCCAGTATACTGCTGTACTAAACAAAGAGCCAATAAAACCAGGAATACAAAAATCAACAATGTAGAAGCCACACTCCACCCCAAACCTCTGGAATCTGACATTATAAGGCTCTAACAGTCAGAATTATCTCTGTCCACGACTTCTAAACTGATGAGATGGACCAACATGTCAATATGGAAGAAAACAAGACAAATATGCTCTTGTGCCAAATTTGGGATGTCACTACCAAATGTTGTTAATGAAATTGAACTGACAGCACTTTCAATAAACTAAACTTGATATATCCAAATAAGATTTACGTCCTGCTGTTTTTGCACCTTCTGAATTTTCAAATAGCAGTAACACTCACCACATCGTTTTAGGCACAACACACAACTGTTACAAAGGTCATGCATGACACTCATGCTACCTTGACCTTTGACCTACTTACATTATTTTGACTAGAGTTTAAGGTAGAACTAAGAACCTTTAATTGGTCTTCAAGTTTTTTAACAAGAGTCTCTTGCTCCTTGACCTTTGAGGCTAGTTTCTCATCTGAGGGATTATTCTGTAACTGGGTTCTTGTTCTCTGCAAGAAAAAAAAACTGAAGTTGTATTTCACTACTTTCACTTTACATCATAAGACATTCCTTAATTCAAGCTTTGAACATTTACATGTGACACAGAAATTTAAAAAAGTCTAAATGGAATATTTCTGAGAGCTTGTCAAATTTGTTCTTGCCCGTTTACAAAATGACTACAAGTTTTTATTAACATTGACATAAAGTTCCTGACTGAAGCTGCCAACCTGTAATTCCTCAGTGGCGTTGTCATAATACTTCTTGATCTCCGAGAGTTTGGAAGCCTGCAGTTCAGCGCTCTTTCTTGACTGCCAAGAGAAATTTTGTCAGGCTTAAACAATTACTACTTACAGTAGATCGCTACATCATACAAAGTGTCAATTATCTAGCATATATTAACAAAGTACAAAGATGCTTCTTCTTGACACAGACTTCTAAAGCATAGACAGGAAGTGAAAAGATGAATATAAACTGTCAAGTAAGAAAGTACTGGAAAATTTGTGTACTTGGAAAAAAAATGCCTCATTTATGAACCTTCAAAGGGTAAAAAGAAAGTGAACTTTTATGATGGACAATTGAAAACATTTTATCTAAAATGTAATTACACTTGTTATTTAAAAATCTGGTTAGGTCACAAATATTGAAGCTTAAAGCTGAACAGTTTTGTATATCTTTATAATGTAAAAAATATACCTTTATTTTTGATACAACTGTTTCCAATTGTTTTTAAAAATTTGAAACACTAAAAATGTAATTTTGGCTAACTAAGCTTTTTTCCTAAAGAATTATATAAGAAATGCCATCATCTGGTATCTGCTTTATTGTCATTTTTTGGGTATGCTAGTGTGGAAAAAATCTTGGAAAAAATTATATATCATCATCTGTCCTTAAAGCTGAACAGGACTTAAATCTTTTTAGTAAAACATGTATTACCTTTGTTTATTACATTTTATTGTCATGGGTATCAGTGTATTTGTGATTGTTTGTATTATGTTTACATTTTACCTGTTACAACTATTTGTGTTTGTTTGTATAGTTTCTTTGTAAGTTACTTTCCTGCATTAGAAGAAGTATACAGTTATTTTTTGTCACTACCGAGTGCTGTAAAGCACATATACGTCTACGCCTGTGACAACTGATTACACTGAATAGTGACTACTTTATATAGGGGTCATCAGATGTAGCCAGAGTCCTATGGAATATGGCAAACACATTCCTTTTATGGATCGTGTTCAGCTTTAAAATATTATAGACTTTCTTTATGGGTAGTCGGTTTGTGACATATTTTCAGGTGAATGAGAGGTCATCATTAACAGTGCTCACTGTAACCTGTTAATTTGGGAAGCCCAATAGATAAAAATACTGATTCAGAGATTAAGCTAAAATGCACACTGTACAAAAAGCTGCTTCATATAGAAAGATGCTGTGTGCTCTAAACTGTTTAGAGTGAAATTTGCCAAACACACACTGGAGGTAGATATTGAGGCAGTGCATGTCAGTAAACTCAGAACAGCTCAATGCAAGCAAGGCTGCCAATTTTTTGAGTTTTGTGAAGAACATGCCCTTTTCTCTTCACACGGACTCTCATTATTATAATATGGATCTTTTTTTAATGCTTAATCTTGTGGAACTAATTACATAAGGATAAAAAAAGTTACAATAAATTAGTGAGAAAAGTCAAAATCATTTTAACTTTTCTCACACTTCTTAGACAAAGATGTTATATTTTGTATTGGGTAACCCTATTTATCTGATGATTGAGGAATAAAATAGGAAATGCACAATGAAATTATGTAAGAAAGATTATGTGAAAGCCTTGTTTGATTTTTGCAGTGGTATAGAAGGAACTGGTCATCGCTAAAGGAACCCTATTTAACTGCCTGATCAAAAAATATAATAGGAGGTGCCCAATTATACTATGTTACACATTATTCAGTTAAACTAAAAAGTCTTATTAAATTTTATCCAGTACTAGTGGTATAGAAGAAGTAAGCAGATGAAACCTTGGTGCCCCCAAGTCTTTCGGATGTACAGGACAGAGACCCCATCCCTATACCAGGGATACCTCCCAAGTCTTTCGGATGTACAGGACAGAGACCCCATCCCTATACCAGGGATACCTCCCAAGTCTATCGAATGTACAGGACAGACACTCTCCCTATTATTTTTCAAGTAAGGATCTATAGGAATAATAAACAGACATTTTTATTTTTCTCTAACTAGTACATGTACTAATGACATATCATTTGTTTCCTTGCACAACTGTTCAAAAGTGATAAAAGTGGGCAATATTTCCCTGATCTGAGTTTACAGAGAAATGTGTGTCTTCCAAGTAAAATCAACAAAATACTGTTTTAAGGAAGATTTCTGACGGAGTTGTGTATTGAAGAAAGTCAAAAGTTTATCTCCAAAGTTGAAAGAATTTTATGTACAGTTTGAGTAAGTATTTTAGGAATAAATTCTGAGAAACCTTTTTATGCACCACACTGATTTAGTCATTATGTTAACTTTAACCTAAATCTTTAATCCATGTCACGTCAACATAGCAATACTTAGCATAGAAAGCCTTTTCTCTTAATTAAAATTATAGTCAATGAAGTGGTTATATAAAATGGTCACAGAAAAGCTTATATACTAGTAAAATGTGGTAAATCCATATTTAATCAAGTCTACTGGAATTAACTTTGTGGTGTATATTATATGGGACTTTTTTTGTGACTTCACAGAATCCTAATGACATATCAACTGGAATAGGTTGTGTTACTTAACAGAAGCCTAATGACATATCAACTGGAAGAGGTTGTTTTGCCTAATGGAAAAGGTTGTGTTACTTCACAGAATCCTCATTACATATCAACAGGAATAGGTTGTATTACTTAACAGAAGCCTAATGACATATCAACTGGAATAGGTTGTATTCAAAAAATATAACAGGAATAGGTTTGTGTGCCACTTTACAATTATACTTTAGTAAAACTTAAAAAGGTTTGTTGCCATCAAATTTTATTAACTGGAATAGGTTTGTGTGCCACTTTACAGAAGCCTAATGACATATCAACTGGAATAGGTTTGTGTGCCACTTTACAGAAGCCTAATGACATATCAACTGGAATAGGTTTGTGTGCCACTTTACAGAAGCCTAATGACATATCAACTGGAATAGGTTTGTGTGCCACTTTACAGGACAGAGGTTTTGTGTGCCACTTTACACTGGAATAGGTCTTTACAGAAGCCTAAGGACATATTAACTGGAATAGGTTTGTGTGCCACTTTACAGAAGCCTAATGACATATCAACTGGAATAGGTTTGTGTGCCACTTTACAGAAGCCTAAGGACATATTAACTGGAATAGGTTTGTGTGCTCTTTACTAGTACATGTACCTAATGACATATCATCTGTTTGTGCCTTGCAAAACTGTTCACAAGTGACAAAAGTGGGGTTTGTGTGCACTTTATATATTCTGGAATAGGTTTGTGTGCCACTTTACAGAAGCCTAATGACTGGAATAGGTTTGTGTGCCACAGAGAAATGTGTGTATGCCAAGTAAAATCAACAAAATACTGTTTTAAGGAAGATTTCTGAATAGGTTTGTGTGCCACTTTACAGAAGCCTAGTTGTGTACTTTACAGAAGAAAGTCAAAAGTTTATCTCCAAAGTTGAAAGAATTTTATGTACAGTTTGAGTAAGTATTTTAGGAATAAATTCTGAGAAACCTTAACTTTATTAGGGCTAATCCACACTAGATTTAGTCTATATAGATCGACTTAACCTGGATTAACTTTACCCTAAATCTTTAATCCATGTCACGTCAACATAGCAATACTTAGTATAGGAAGACTTCACTTTTCAATCTTATGATACCGTAAAATAATAAAGTCGAAATGAAGTCAGGAGTAGGAATATCAACAATGTGGTCACAGAAAAGCTTAATAGTGAAATGTGGACATAAGTATATCCATATCTAATCAAGTTTACTGGAATAAACTTTGTGGTGTACATCATCTGGGACTGTTTTTTTGTGACTTCACAGAATCCTAAGGACATATCAACTGGAATAGGTTGTGTTACTTTACAGAATCCTAATGACATATCAACTGGAATAGGTTGTATGACTTTATAGAATCCTTAGGACATATTAACTGGAATAGGTTTGTGTGCCACTTTACAGAAGCCTAAGGACATATCAACTGGAATAGGTTGACTTTACAGAACCCTTACTGACTGCCATCATTACAGTGTTATTTATACTTTATCATACTTACATCAACTGGAATGGGTTTGGTGACCTTTTCAGGCGCTTTGTTCATAAGTGTGAGTTGTACAAAAGATCCAGCTGAAAGTAAAAAAATGTTGTATCATTAAGTCTGGGAAAAAATCTTATGTAAAAAAAATTATGTCAAGGCTGAAGGAAAATAAAATTGATCTTTAAAAGACCATTAAAATAGTTCATTACAATTTCCATTGTGAATTACCATAATTAATTCTTCTTCTCAATAAAAGTGATATTTCATCATCATCATTTTTTTTTCATGTAGTAAAACTTACACAAATATTATTATAACCAAGAAAATAACAAGAAATTTTAAAATTGTTTGCCTTGAAAAGTTCCTCTTAAGTGTGTTACAAAAACTCTCCCAACAGATAGGGAGAGTGAATAAACTATCCTGACACCGACTAAAACTGCCAAAGTTTCTCCATAACACTGTTAAAATCTTTCATCTCACATGAAATCTCACAACTGCTTGCAAATAAGAAGCTCATATAAGCAATGGGGAGAAAAGGGATAAAGCTAACATAATAAACAGAACATTCAATCTTCTGTAGATAAATATGGAAATTAATTTAACTTGTGACTTGTATGACAGACTATTCATAAATTTTCAATCATGCTTTGCACTCATGAAAACATATATTAAATAAAATCTTGTCCCACTTGTGAAATAAATTCCTCATCAAGAACAAAACATTGAAGATGTCAAATTTCCTTTATACAGGCATTAGTGGTAAAATGTCTAGGTCATAAAAATTCATCATCAGTATTTGCTACAAACATCTTCTATCATATTTGTAGGAGTTTTTTTAAGGAGTTATGAGCAATATATCAAGAGGTCTCCTCTATATAATCTATATATATAATATAGCCTGGGGCAATGCAGACTTGGAGTGCATCATTTAACTGTTTCATTGATTGCACAACTGTTTACAGTCATGGAAAATAACATAAAATCACTTGTTTTTCTTACAGCTCTACATATAATTTACACTCTCGATATTAAGCATGCAGTGTTAAGTTTAAGTCATATGAATATCTTGGAACTTTGGCTGTCAACATTTGAAGGTCTTGAATAAATTTCATGCTTCAAGTTCATCACAACACCTTACACACAGTTTTATAAATCCATCTTCCTGGCCATGTAGGATTGTGGTACATTTAAAGGCAAATTTAAATCTTAGGTATCATAATATGTAAAAAAAAAAAAATGCTATTAAAAGTTTGATAAAAAAAAAACAAGTACAGGTAAATTAAAGTATTTCTATACCCTCACACCTTAATCAGATGTAAAATAAGAGAACCAACCACCAAACAATGTAACATTCTCCAAACAGTTTACCAAAAAAACTCAAAAACTGTTTAGTCACACTTTTACATGAACCTAAAATCACCTGATGCTTAAACCCTGTCACAAATATCTAGTATACCAGGAAGTCCAATTAAGAATTCAAGATTTCCTGATATCACCATGAAAAGCAGGCTAACTGAATTAAAAGAGCTGCCTACTCTATTATAGCTCTAATTCTAAACACAATACTGAAATCAAGACAATTAAGTGACAGAAAAAAGTTAAAGACAGGTCAAAGAACTAAGAATTCCGATCAAATTAAAGGGCACCTGTTGTCTTATTGTTAATCAACAAACTAACACACAAGAGTCAACTTATACAATGTTATAATCATTGATTGATGTATAAAATGCTGCTGAAAGATGATCAATAGAGTCTTCATAGTAAAATTTCTACATTAGCAGCCAGTACTATTCAATTTATAACAAGAGTATTTATAGGAAAGATTAATTGTTCTTTTTTGGGGGGTGGGGTGGGGTGGTGGTGGTGAGGGGTCTCATTTGAGAATTCAAATGTATAATTTAAAGAAAATTGGATTCTATTTTGTTTTTACATCCCATAAGAGATGTCACCATATACATATACCAGTGAATGGCATCAAATTTAGACCTATACGTCACAATAAGGGCCATTAAGCAGTAAGGGTCTTTCTTGTTTCAATGTTTACCATGATAGAAGTGACATTGGACTTCAGTTTTAAGGATTTCATCAAAGGACTTTCACTTTAAAGAAAGAGATGATTCAAACACTACATGGAAAACCCAATGATAAATCTGTGATAAGTATGTGTGTACTTAAGTTAAGGCCTGATAAGCAAACATGCCTATCAGGGCAGTTTGTTATACAAGTTGCATGCTAAATACTACACATAAATATGTTCATAAACAGACCAGCTCCTACATTTAAAACATGTAAGAAGAAGACGACACAAACAACACAGTATAATCCACATTCCAAGCATAGCTATGAAATTTAAACTCCAGATTTAAACTGAGAGAATCTTAAGCTTGATAAGGAAAACCTGAGATATCGCATCCCGTGTATAAAACCTACTATCTTCCTGTCCAGTCATGTGGTCAGTAACATCATACATGGAGGCGGCCAGTCGCCCCTCCCCGAGCGGACGTTTTCCCACAGCCACATCGGAGGCCCTCCTGTACTTCTTACAGTTCTTCCTCCTGAGGGGGAGGGAGTTGTACCCCTCTTGGTGGCCATTTTCCTTCAGTTTGTTCTCCATGATTATGATCTGGTGTTGGTAAACAAGATAAAACTTCCGACAAACATCTCCGATTAAACGCTACACACTGAAGAGTATCTCTCACTGAGGGAGTCCATACCAGTGTTTTCCCCACTTCACAGTGTTAAGTTGTCCAACAGACACCAAACCACTTGATCCTGGGATTGTACAATAGAGACACCAGAACACTTAATCCCGGGATTGAACAACAGGAAGGAGGTCCTAATACCAGTCAGTCCCGGGGGTAAACCGTTTGTTTTTCTGTCTCCCAATGTGTCCCTCTATAATGGCTGTGTATCTGATCACCAGCTCAATCTGATCATTAGTCACTGGAGTAATTAGACATTCCTCCACTGTCCTGTTTGCCAAGGCAATCATATGTAATCATATACATATGAGATGGGTAGTGCACATCAAGGGAGAAAACTTATCAAAAATATCTTCTCTATCTAACAGGTGTCAAATATCCTGAGCAGCAAAGTCTGCATTTTATGCGTGTACACTTCATCTTCTTCTCTCAAATAAACAGGGTTCAAGTTTCAACATAAAAAATTCTGATTCTTTTTTTATGTGCCCTTTAGGGTATAGCTGCATATTTAATGAATGAAAAAGATATGTGCAATCAGAAAGAGACGATTGCAGTACCTCTTGGAGGAAAATCTAACACAAACATACTTCCTCACTTCCTCAGATTTGTTTTTAAGAATTAAAGCAGTTTTTATAGATACATACTACATCTAAAGACAAATTTGTTATTAAAAATTACAACAGTTTTAGAATAATTGATATCATCAATCAACCATGATGTTATGCATTCAAGGATACATAAATACAGTACCACAGGTTATGAGCCATGATTGAGACAATTAAAAAACAGAAATTAATGACATTTGAATTTTGAATGTATATGAAGACCTTTCTCACTCTGAAACTCGACATATCAATTTTTTGAAATAAAGAACTTTGAGACAAAGTCTCCAGCAACAAATTAAGTAATTTTCAACAATCCTGAGTCAGATGATCTTTTTTTAAATATTAAAGAAAAAACAACCTAGAGACTGTGTCCTGTATTGTGGTCAAGACAGGGAATGAAATCAAGCCACACCTTATGTCATTTTATTTAACCTACAGGATGGTATAGTCTAGAAGTGCACCGAGTGTCCTCCAACAGTTATGAATATTCATGACATCTAGACCAGTGACTTGGTAAAACACAATCCTGTTTTGTTGCACAGCACGTCTGCCGTGAATCACCTCTAAGTTATTCCTAAGCCCAGTTATTTTTATCTGACTACATGCACATATGGATAATTTAATGCACAACAAATGGTCCCAGTTTTCTAAAATTCACCTTAATGCAAAGAATATAATTATTCCTCTATTTAGATGTGGTAAATGTTGACCTATTGAACTGTTCCTACATGACTATTCCATTACTTGCCTGAGGTTAAACAAGGGGGGTGACTCCTGTTATTCCAGCAAGGGAGATAACTGATATATTTCCACTCTAGTGATGACCTTTGAGATATATTGTCTAGATGTGATTATTGACTTTCTCTGTGTAAAGAGGATTTCATCATAAATCAAACATACACCCTGTTTACCGGGGTCTTTAACTGTTTGATGTGGACAATTTGGTCAATAAGTCGTATCACACACATCTTAGCTCTCAGTCCACCATATATATAGGTCAAAGCCAAAGACACAAGATCAACCCAACCACAGTTACAAAAACATAAAATTTATAAACCACTTACTCTAAAGAAAACATTTCCATAAATATCTCCATCTTCCTTCCAAGAAAAACAAAACAATCAGGTGAGAATGCAAATCAGGTGTGAAAATTAAAACCTTCCTACCCCCTCATTTCTTCCACAACGGAGACCAGTGTTCAGTGTGTAAACTTTGGCCTTCCCTGGAGTAAACAGCTGAAGAATGGATGTGCCCTATACAATGATACTCCTTCTTCTAACAAGTGTCACCTGACTGTTTAACAAGACCCTGCCACTACGTACAGAACATCTACCTGGACATGGATAATTAACACACAACATCGATTAAACCTACTCCACAATGGGGAAATATTTGCATAATTTTGTGAGATGTGACACACATATATATGTATCTTGAGGTTTTAGTCAAAGTCAAATTATTTAAGAGGAATGCACAATCAGCAAAAAAAGGAAGAAACCTCAGAAGTTATCAAATAACACACAGAATGCCTCATATGGCTGCTAACACTGCTGTCGTTACCGTCCTCAGACACAATTAATTTAACTATATTTTACTTCACACCTATTCATCTTTACTGAGTAGTTTATTCACGATATGTTGCAATTATTCTACTTACAAGATATGGAAAACTAACTGCCAAAACACGATTTAACATATCCATTTTCAAATAACTTAACAAAATCAAACTCTGTTGAGGGAGTAACCATTGCGTTAATATTAAGTTTTATTTTTTACTGTGAA